ATGCTAATCAATTTTGAAATATTACTTTATGTCCACATTTTCTAGATGCAAATGGTAGAACATGTATTACAAACTTGCGTCACTATTACATTAACTTCTATCAAAGATGCATATAGATTTATATACGTCTTTGCTTCTATTAAACTGATGTATGTGGTGGATTTCCTATTACTGTAGCAATGATTGTCAGGATCGTCAAAGCCAAATGCAGTTTGGCCTGGGTTCTATTCAATATATTGGGCCCTATGAGAAGCAGTCTTTATTCCTGGCATAGTAGATATGACAGTGACTGAATGATTGATTTTCTCTATGACCATCATCTAGTTATGGAATGCTACATATACTTACTAAGTAGCCATGGCGCCATAAAGAAAGATGTGATGTGCGCAGAACATTGAATTCTCTCTTACAGAGCTGAACCTAGACTAACATTTAGTCTCTGAAATCTTATATTACACAATATCCTTCTTGACTCTAAAAATAAAATGAAAATTCCCTATGCTGATTTCAGAGTGTGGAATAGAGCTAGCTTGAGCTGGCTAGACTTGCTTTTGTATGCATATCTTGATTTTGTTTTTTCATAAAATAAATATATTCAACGGTCATGGTGCAGGACAAAGCTGAACCAGGCGAGAAGTATTCAAATGTAACCAGATAGTTATGGCCTGTGTGCACAATACAATACTTGATCATTTGATACTTTTATTGTACATGCATGTTCTCAGGAACTGTATCTTCCATCAAGGGAAAGGAGACTCCATGGCACCTCCCACCCCTTCTGCGTGTGACTACCATTCAGTGACCACCTCATACTGTCACAGCGCTTTCAGATAATTTTAGAATTTACAGTGACCTTGTTTCTGGCAATTATCACTGCGCATAATAAGCCTTGTGTCAGCTGTGTTTGTGATATTTATTAATGTAACAGTATACAGGGACATCAGCTGTATCAATTTGAAGGGTAAAATTGCAGAAGTCATTGTGCATGTGTTGCTTCACTCTGGATCTAGACTTTGCCCTGGACCCTGTGCCAGGACCAGGGTCCCATTCTACAAAACGATTGTAGGGCTACGACTGTCATATGTCATATGTTACGGTGTGTGTGTTACAATCGTAGGGCTACAACTGTCATATGTCATATGTTACAGTGTGTGTGTGTGTGTTACAATCGTAGGGCTACGACTGTCATATGTCATATGTTACAGTGTGTGTGTGTGTTACAATTGTAGGGCTACGACTGTCATATGTCATATGTTACAGTGTGTGTGTGTGTGTGTGTAACAATCGTAGGGCTACAACTGTCATATGTCATATGTTACAGTGTGTGTGTGTGTGTTACAATCGTAGGGCTACGACTGTCATATGTCATATGTTACAGTGTGTGTGTGTGTTACAATTGTAGGGCTACGACTGTCATATGTCATATGTTACGGTGTGTGTGTGTGTGTGTGTTACAATCGTAGGGCTACAACTGTCATATGTCATATGTTACTGTGTGTGTGTGTGTTACAATCGTAGGGCTACAACTGTCATATGTCAGATGTTACAGTGTGTGTGTGTTACAATCGTAGGGCTACGACTGTCATATGTCATATGTTACAGTGTGTGTGTGTGTTACAATCGTAGGGCTACAACTGTCATATGTCATATGTTACAGTGTGTGTGTGTGTGTTACAATCGTAGGGCTACGACTGTCATATGTCATATGTTATGGTGTGTGTGTGTGTTACAATTGTAGGGCTACGACTGTCATATGTCATATGTTACGGTGTGTGTGTTACAATCGTAGGGCTACAACTGTCAGATGTCATATGTTACGGTGTGTGTGTGTGTGTTACAATCGTAGGGCTACGACTGTCAGATATCATAAAGTTACAGTGTGTGTGTGTGTGTGTGTTACAATCGTAGGGCTACAACTGTCATATGTCATATGTTACGGTGTGTGTGTTACAATTGTAGGGCTACAACTGTCATATGTCATATGTTACGGTGTGTGTGTGTGTGTTACAATTGTAGGGCTACGACTGTCATATGTCATATGTTATGGTGTGTGTGTGTGTTACAATTGTAGGGCTACGACTGTCATATGTCATATGTTATGGTGTGTGTGTGTGTTACAATTGTAGCGCTACGACTGTCATATGTCATATGTTACAGTGTGTGTGTTACAATTGTAGGGCTACAACTGTCATATGTCATATGTTATGGTGTGTGTGTGTGTTACAATTGTAGGGCTACAACTGTCATATGTCATATGTTACAGTGTGTGTGTTACAATTGTAGGCTACAACTGTCATATGTCATATGTTACGGTGTGTGTGTGTGTTACAATTGTAGGGCTACAACTGTCATATGTCATATGTTACGGTGTGTGTGTGTGTGTTACAATTGTAGGGCTACAACTGTCATATGTCATATGTTACGATGTGTGTGTGTGTTACAATTGTAGGGCTACAACTGTCATATGTCATATGTTATGGTGTAGGTGTGTGTTACAATTGTAGGGCTACGACTGTCATATGTCATATGTTATGGTGTGTGTGTGTGTTACAATTGTAGCGCTACGACTGTCATATGTCATATGTTACAGTGTGTGTGTTACAATTGTAGGGCTACAACTGTCATATGTCATATGTTATGGTGTGTGTGTGTGTTACAATTGTAGGGCTACAACTGTCATATGTCATATGTTACAGTGTGTGTGTTACAATTGTAGGCTACAACTGTCATATGTCATATGTTACGGTGTGTGTGTGTGTTACAATTGTAGGGCTACAACTGTCATATGTCATATGTTACGGTGTGTGTGTGTGTGTTACAATTGTAGGGCTACAACTGTCATATGTCATATGTTACGATGTGTGTGTGTGTTACAATTGTAGGGCTACAACTGTCATATGTCATATGTTATGGTGTAGGTGTGTGTTACAATTGTAGGGCTACGACTGTCATATGTCATATGTTACAGTGTGTGTGTTACAATCGTAGGGATACGACTGTCATATGTCATATGTTACGGTGTGTGTGTGTGTGTTACAATTGTAGGGCTACAACTGTCATATGTCATATGTTATGGTGTAGGTGTGTGTTACAATTGTAGGGCTACGACTGTCATATGTCATATGTTACAGTGTGTGTGTTACAATTGTAGGGCTACAACTGTCATATGTCATATGTTATGGTGTGTGTGTGTGTTACAATTGTAGGGCTACAACTGTCATATGTCATATGTTACAGTGTGTGTGTTACAATTGTAGGCTACAACTGTCATATGTCATATGTTATGGTGTGTGTGTGTGTTACAATTGTAGGGCTACGACTGTCATATGTCATTTGTTATGGTGTGTGTGTGTGTGTGTTACAATCGTAGGGCTACAACTGTCATATGTCATATGTTATGGTGTGTGTGTGTGTTACAATTGTAGGGCTACGACTGTCATATGTCATATGTTACAGTGTGTGTGTTACAATCGTAGGGCTACAACTGTCATATGTCATATGTTATGGTGTGTGTGTGTGTTACAATCGTAGGGCTACGACTGTCATATGTCATATGTTACAGTGTGTGTGTTACAATCGTAGGGCTACAACTGTCATATGTCATATGTTACGGTGTGTGTGTGTTACAATTGTAGGGCTACAACTGTCATATGTCATATGTTACGGTGTGTGTGTGTGTGTGTTACAATTGTAGGGCTACAACTGTCATATGTCATATGTTACGGTGTGTGTGTTACAATCGTAGGGCTACAACTGTCATATGTAATATGTTACGGTGTGTGTGTGTGTTACAATCGTAGGGCTACAACTGTCATATGTCATATGTTACGGTATGTGTGTTACAATCGTAGGGCTACGACTGTCATATGTCATATGTTACGGTGTGTGTGTGTGTTACAATCGTAGGGCTACAACTGTCATATGTCATATGTTACGGTGTGTATGTTACAATCGTAGGGCTACAACTATCATATGTCATATGTTACGGTGTGTGTGTGTGTGTTACAATTGTCTTTGCGCTACAATCGTTTTGTGGAACGGAGCCCTGGTCCTGACCGTGGACTCCTGGACCTGACCATGGACTCCGGGACCTGACCATGGACTCCTGGACCCTGGCTATGTTGATCTCACTCCTTGCATCTCCTCACTGCGTGTCAACATTGTGGCTGACAGCTCTGTTACGTGTGGACATGAGACAGTTGCACCAACACTGGCTTGAGAACTCATGTCATCATGATCATCAGAAAAAAGGATTTGCCAATTCAGTTCGTATTACACGAGACCCTATTTTGTTATGAACAAAACATGTGTTTTCAAGCAAAGTATGTAGTGCTGGGCAAACATGAATGGTTACTGCCTTTAATCCAGTCTGATTGATGGAAGGAGCAAGCAGAAAGTAATATTGTTTGTGACGCCATCCAATCTCATTAAAATCAAATCTTAGTGTTTTTGCTGCTGCCAAACAGAGATCTGACTACATCACATTACAGGTCACGTCAGAACGACCGTTCATGAACTTTGACCGACCAATGAAATGACTGACAAGAAATCGACATTAGCCAATCAGAAGGCAGCTTTCTCGAGCTTTACGACACAAGTTTCAAACTGGCGACTACGCTTCAAAACATATTTTGACGTATTCTCGATTGCAAATTTTACACCTGATAAGAAGAAAGTTCTGGAATGGCTTACAGATGACCTAGATTGTATGGATATAATCATAAAAACCCGTAACTGTCGTTCAGAATACCCTCTGTTAAATATTTCGAGGTTGCATGATTAGAAAACACTTTCCAACTGTCACTTTCATGATCTGGTAAGCGACGCTCTGATTGGTTGAATGAAAGGTAGTTCTGACGTGACCCGTAATGGGATGTTCTCAGAACTTTGTTTAGCGGTAGTGAGAACTAAGATCTGATTTTAATGAGATTGTGATGCCAACTTATATTAACTCTGTTTGTGACGTCATCTAAAATCAACTGATGTGTTATTGTTTGCAGGTTTGCAGTTTGTTCCCTTCCGGACCATCCACAACAAGCCGGACCCATTCAACACCATACGAGCCAACTGCTGGATTGGCCACCTGCCTGTGGAGGTCAAGCTGACCAAACACGAGAAGCATGTGTCCAAGATGCTCAACCCTTACCTGTAAGTAGTATGTAGTTGGGATTGATCCCTTGGGGATTCTGGGTTAGATCAGGTTCCCAGAAACCTATACTGGTTGCAAGATCTTTGCTCATAATATCAATGCCTGGATTGTCTGGTCCAGACTTGATTATTTACAGGCCACCATCGCATAGCTCGAATATTGCTGAGTGCAGCGTCAGATGACAAACAAACAAGTTAATATTGTCTCAATTTTTTGTCCAGCAAGTCATTAAGTAGATTACTTCCCTTAGTTAAACAGGATCTGTCGATCATCTGTGTATAATTTTTCACAATAAGTTTACACGATACACAATTTGACGTTCATCCGTTTTTATGAGACTGTATTTGGAAATGACGTTAACACTGATGGACTGCTTATACCTTCTTGGAGACCTGTGAAGGTCCGGGGTAGAATAGGTCTTCAGCAACCCATGCTTGCCGTAAAAGGCGACTATGCTTGTCATAAAAGGCCACTAACGGGATCGGGTGGTCAGGCTCGCTGACTTGGTTGAAGCATGTCATCGATCCCAAATGCGTGGATTGATGCTAATGATATCAATCACTGGATTGTCTGGTCCAGACTCAATTATTTACAGACCGCCGTCATATAGCTGGAATATTGCTGAGTGCGGCGTTAAACAACAAACCAACCAAAACCAACATTCCTGGGGGAACCCCTGGGAATTCCCTAGCACGAATACATACAGAATCGTTGTTTCTGATCATTAAGACCTTTTAATCTTGATCTCCATGTTTAGCATACATCCTCGCTACGATCCATCTCAGTGAGCAACACGTAGAAATGCACATCCAAACTATCGTAGTATTGACTCGATCCGTGACTACGCAGACAGCGACAGTTATCAGCAATCTATGAATTTATCTATGTATCTTATTTGACACATCTTTAAAATTACCTTCAATGATTGGCCAATCCATTAATGATGACTGCCACATGTAACCACCACAGGTTCATTAACAACTTCGGAATCTGTCTCGTCATGTCTTGTTGTTGGCCATTTTGATGCCTTGTACTTGATGTAAATGTATTACGAAACGCTATTACTGTGACTGATCTGCTGAGGTCCGATGATGATGTTATTTGAATATTTTGTTGTACACAAACTACAACAGATGTTCCTGTAGAACAAGATGAGCATGCATATGCTCACGTCATCTCACTTTTTGAAGGAACTATTATATTCCATGATACAGCTGGTCGTGGTATGGCCGTCAGTGTGAACATGAAGTCACAGATACTGAATAAAATTGTGTACAGATCTTGGCCTACATCCTTTCAGATTATAAAATGGTGACTCAAAGAGTTATCAGAATTGATTTGCACTTTAAAGATCCAAATAACTTGCGATAACGTGCAGATTTTGACATTTTTTCAGTCGCCGTTCACCAGTGCCCACACAGCTGCAGTTGCAAGGCACTGACAATTGATGCTGAAAATAAAATTTATTCATAAAATTTCATAAACGTCAATAGTTGTTGGAAATTTGTAATCCTTCCTGATGTAGTGAATAGCAGCTGGGTGATAGTATTTAGTTCCACCTAACCTGTAATTACAATGATCTTTTTGTTACTTTCTTATAGAGATGGAAAAAGTTGTATGGGATGCCCTTTGTCATGATCTGACATGTGGTCTTGGGTGCTGTGCTGTTGTGCTTGAATCACCTGTATGGTCCTTGTTGTGTCAGCGTCTTACCATGCTCAACACTCACTCACTCACTCACTCACTCACTCACTCACTCACTCACTCACTCACTCACTCACTCACTCACTCACTCACTCACTCACTCACTCACTCACTCACTCACAATGATTGGATATTCAATGAAATACTTTTCAAAGCAGTCTTGAACACAATGCCCTCTGTGATTCGATCTCCTCCAGGGACCTGTTGTTTGTAAGATTACATTTCAGGTTTGCATGCTGATCCTTTCTCAGCACTCTCCAGTTTAGATATGTTGATTTTAAAACTGCAAATGGGTTCAAACTGAAAACAGACAGTAAATAAATCTGTTTTAATGTATTTTGCTGACACACGTGTGGTTTGTAGTCCATTTTTTTCTGTGGTCTTCTTACACTGGATCGATAGAGCTTGGCCCCTCAGCGCAACAAAGTCTGTCAGTTGATAACAAAGTTGTGTCATGATTGATTTGCAAATGAGTTCCTTGGACTTTCATTAAACTGGATCGATGAATCTTCTTTTGTAGACTTTCTTGGAAAGTTTTCAAGATGCCGGATGGAAAAGATAAAAAATAATTCAAAATATTGTCAGGGTTAGTTTGAGATTATGTTCCTTACATAAACTTGCAACAGAAGTACAGACGAAAAGGGCTTCAAAATAAGCAATCATTTTTTTCTTTTTGTCAATCCTCTGGAGGTTCCAGCTGAGAATGGGTCCATAATACCCCCTGATTGAACCAATGGGATTTGGTGGTCAGGCTCTGTGTCTGGGCTGATTAGGGGTCTTCATACCCCAATAGCATACATTGGTGCTCATGATTTCAGTCACTGGTTTACCTGGTCAAGATTCAATTAGTTACGAGCATACAGGCTACTGTGGGTGGAACATTGCTGACTGGCTTAAGCAATATTCATTCACTTCCTCGTTCATTTTTTGTCTGCATGGTTTCAGACATCTTCCCGAGGCAAGGGTGTTAACTGACTTTAAAAGTCCAGTTTCCACCCTTGCCGAACTAGGCTGGAATTCATAGCTCCACCAGTGATTATAACGAGTTATGTCCCTTCTAAGCCTCTCTCTATGGACCAATCAGATTCCACCTCTCATATCACTTGCATTTGTTTCAAACAAAATGGCGGCACCCAGTCAAGACAATGTGATCAAGAATCAAGATCTATATTGTGATCAAACGGGTCTTACATCGCAAAGTGCATCAAATCACGTGGGCACCTTGATAAAAAGATTTGGAAAATACCTGCTGACAACAAGTTGGCGGTGCACATTCTTTGCAAATCCTGCAATCGACCAAAATCTGCATGACAGCATACTAACCAGATTTTGATTTCATATACAAGAATTCTCACAATTCATTCTGCGTTCTAGGTACACCATTGAGGTAAAGCATGGGGACTTTGAGTGGACGGTGAAGCGGAGGTACAAACACTTCCGCCAGCTGCACGACGCCCTGACGCTGTACCGTGCCAGATACAGACTGCCAATACCCAAGAAAGAGTAAGTCGTCCTGCTACACTCAGCTCTCTAGTGCTCGCGTTACACGATTTTGTTTTGAATAAAACCTGCTCAGTAGGTGGCATAACGTGATAAAAAATTAATTCCTGATATTTTTTCCCGTCTTTTTTTCAGAAGGTTTTCTGGACCATGTTCATTAACCTTGTCTTCTTGGCCTTTATATTTGATGTTATATATGCATACCTTTTCGGGTACATGTATGAATAATTTTTGTAAGGTAGATGTCTAACAAAATTGTTGTGTGTGTTCTTTGAACATTTTCTAGTATTTGAACTTGTATCATTTGGGGCTTTTAGGAATAGGAAGACACTGCTTTCAAATTTCTTTTGCTTTAATTTTTATAGGGTTGGCTGATCTATAATTCTATTTTGAAATAATCATTGCTTACTTGTTGGCTTATCTGAGTTTGTCAAAATTTAAGTGACAACACCCTTTCCATAACTACAAGAAATCTTTGTTGAAAGCAGAGTTGATTGTACAATTCTGACTGTATCTTGAGCATGTTTAACTAACACGAGTATGGTTGGCGTGGTTGATTAGCGTGCATCTGGTAGTCAGATGTGCGCCATATGATGTGAAAATGTTTCAAAAAAGACTCATGGAAGGGCTTCAAAATAAGCAATAATTGTTTTCTTTTTGTCCATCCTCTGGAGGTTCTAGCTGAGAATGGGTCTGTAATACCCCCTGATTGAACCAATGGGATTTGGTGGTCAGGCTCTGTGTCTGGGCTGATTAGGGGTCTTCATACCCCAGTAGCATACACTGGTGCTCATGATTTCCATCACTGGTTTACCTGGTCAAGATTCAATTAGTTACGAGCGTACAGGCTACTGTGGGAAGGCTCCTTGAATGGACGCTGGTCCTGAAATAAGTTCCCCTCAACAAAAATCACTTAACAGTGGTTGCTATTTGGTGCTGTAGTTGTTGTATTGGAGAAATCACTTAAATCTGTTGATTCTAACTAGAGTTAACGCACCCCAAAGGCTCAGAATCTAACAAAAAGCGTGATGTGATCATGATGGTTTAATGTCTTGTAATGTTGTGGTAGACTGTAGCAAACCAGACTGATGCTAGACACATTGGGGATATTGCCCTGAGATGATTCTACTCCCACAGTTATCTGCTGTCACTTCTCTTTCAAGTCCAAGATCAATTCCTTCACTAAATTACTTTGGCTCCTGAATTCCTGTGTGTATTGGAGGAACAATCAGGCCGTCAATAGATGTACATAGTTTTCCCTGTGACCACACCTCGTATTAATAACCTAGAGTTACTGCTCCCAAGGCCAGCGCTGTGTATTCAGTCGTCAGTTATTTTTGCATATTTAATCAGTGGGTAATTTGTCCCTTGATACCTTCATGAATCAGAAGTAAATGATTCAGAAACCTAAAACATATTCCTGGAAAAAGGTCATTAAACATATACTGATGAACACAAATAATGGAATAAATGGTGTTTTCAGCTGCTGTCAGCAATATTCCATCTGCTTCGGTTACAACGGGATGGGCTGAACAGGGATTTGGGTCAAACTGCAGGGGTTTGGCTGAACTGGTGTTTGGTACAGGTGATGGGCCAACTGGGATTGGGGTCAAACTGCAAGGGTTGGGCTGAACTGGGGTTTGGTACAGGTGATGGGCCAACTGGGATTGGGGTCAAACTAAGGGGGTTGGGCCGAACTGGGGTTTGGTACAGGTGATGGGCCAACTGGGATTGGGGTCAAACTGCAGGGGTTGGGCTGAACTGGGGTTTGGTACAGGTGATGGGCCAACTGGGATTGGGGTCAAACTAAGGGGGTTGGGCCGAACTGGGGTTTGGTACAGGTGATGGGCCAACTGGGATTGGGGTCAAACTAAGGGGGTTGGGCTGAACTGGGTTTTGGTACAGGTGATGGGCCAACTGGGATTGGGGTCAAACTAAGGGGTTGGGCTGAACTGGGGTTTGGTACAGGTGATTGGCCAACTGGTTTTGGGTCAAACTGAGGGGGTAGTTTGAAAAGGGGATCGATTGATCTTGGGGTTGGTTGACCTTGGATTTGGACTATGGGTCGGTGGGATGAGGGGTTAGTTGAACTTGGAGTTGGTTGAACTAGGGGTGGGTTGGACTAGGGACTAGTTGAACATGGGGTTGGTTTGACTAGGGTTTTGTTGGACTAGGGTTTGGTTGAACTTGGGGTTGGTTGGATGTAGGGTTGGTCAAACTTGGGGCTGGTTGGACTAGGGGTTAGTTGAACTTGGGGTTGGTCAGAATAGGGTTTGGTTGAATTAGGGGTTGGTTGATTTAGGTTGGACTAGGGATTGTTTGAACTAGGGTTTGGTCAGAATTGGGTTATGAGTCAGACTAGGGTTTGTTCAAACAGGACAGTGAGTAGATAGGGGTAGATTGGGCCTTGAAAGTATGGAAAATCTCTCACTCACACCTGGACATAGATTCCTTGTTCCGCTTTCTTTTCACTTTTGCAAACATGTTTCCATGACGACAGTTTGTTATTGCGCTGATATGTTCTATAAGATGCAATATCCAACTACTCACACATTATGTCCATAAAGTGTAGGATGTCCATTGAGAACAGGATGTCCATACTGTGTAGGATGTCCATATGGTCTCTCTACAATGGTTTTAAGTATGCAGCCGTGCGATAATGAAGGATGTGGCACTCACCATGGGGTTCAGACATGGATTTGGTTGTGCACATCTGTGTTTCTGTTACTTATTTTCCTTTACAAAGGACCGCCTCCGTGCTCTGGCGGATAGTGCTCCTGCACGGAGAGCAGAAGGTCGGGGGTTTGATCCTCGGCCACATCATACCAAAAGATGTAAAAAGATGGTACTTGTGGTCACCCTGCCTGGCGCTCGGCATTAAGGGGTTAAAACAAGGACTGGTCGGCTCGGAGTCAGTATACTGTGTCTGTGTGGGGTTTTCCTGATGAACTGCGGCATGGTTTCTCAGTGAGCTAGCACTATAAAATCGGCATTAACCAGCAACCGGCCACACACACACATGCATGCACGTCGCTATATAAGTGCAATAATCTTGACCGCAACATTAAACCCAATTTCACCTCACCAACCTCACCTTCCCCCGAATACATCTACACCTATTTGACAATCTCTTGTGTCCCCCACCGTGATATTGCTGGAATATTGCTAAAAGCGGCGTAAAACCATACTCACTCACTCACTATTTGACAATCATCAAGTATCCAAAATATCGAAATTATTGTATCTATATATTTCCCTGATGATCATTGATAGTTATTTTACCAGGTAAGAAAAGATTTTATTCAAGGAATGTTGGCTATATAACAAGTCATTGATGACTTAAAAAGTATTGAATTGTTACAGTTCCGATAAATTAGAGTGTTTACTAAGTATCATCTTCCTGAGGCAAGGGAGTTCACTAACTATAAAAGTCCAGTTTCCACCCTTGCTGAAATAGACTTTATGGAGTTATATTTTGGCTGGACTAACAAGTCTATGCATAGTCAAATCCAAATCGCTTAACAAAATTGATATCCGGTTCGTAAACTGCCATGCAGATTTCGGGTGATTGCAGGATTTACATAGCATGTGTACCACCAACAAATATTTTATGTGTTTAACCAACATGCTCACATGATTTGATGCACTTTACGAAGTAAGACCTATTTTATCACAGTATAGATTTTGATTATCAATCAGATCGTCTTGACTGGGAGCCACCATTTTGTTTAAAGCAAATGCAAGTGATATGAGAGGTGGACTCTGATAGGTCAGCAGGAAGGACATAGAAGGGACAAAACTCATAATAGCCACTGGTGGCGCTACAATCGAGCCCAGAAATTTCAGCCTTGTTTGGCAAGGGTGGAAACTGGAATTTTACAGTCCGTTAATTCCCTTGCCTCGGGAAGATGACTCAATGTTAGTGAATATGGTTGTGTTACATTACCTGCTAACACTTTGCTTCCAGATATGTTGGATCATGGACCCCCTTGCTCAGGTTCTTTGGACTTTCATTGATTTCTAGAAATCATTTTTATTTTTTATATATTTTCTTGTGACATATACCGCTACAAGATGCTATTGTGTGCGGCTGATAGAGCTGCGATAATAGCTGCAATTATTATCTGCTCAGTAATGTGTCTGTTTAAAGGTCAGCTTAATCCTGCATGCTCTATGCTTTCATCTGGAAGTATGGATAGAAATCTTAGATATTACATACAGTATTGTATTTCTTCAATATTTCTATTGTAATGACTTTTTAGAATGCATGATTAGCTTGTGTTTCTACAGAGAGCTGCCTCAGAAGTATTTGATTCAGCCAACATTGGATATTGATACATGTATTGAAAACTACTAATTTCCATGAGAACTTTTCAAGGATAGAGTTACATATATCTAAAGTATAGGCAGGTGTAGGGTCCCCTTGGTCTGATAGCGTCTCAGGTGCCAGTTAACGAGTGCAGGATGAGATACTACATTTTTTGTTCACCAATTTTTACATTTATACCTCCATCATTGCAAAAATATGTTGAAGTCAATTCTTACATGAATAAAGCTATGTACTGACTGGATGACCAAACCACCTGTAGAAACTTGGAATATTAACCTAATTTGTATACTGGCTTATTTGGGAGCACGGGTGGCCAAGTCATCTAAGGCACCGCGATTTGCTGTGCAGAGTTGCGTCCCTTGGCGCGACAGAAACCTATGATTGTGGTTTCTAATCCCGGTTCACCCCAATTATGTTTCTAGGTATGTCAGCACCATACTCGTGCTCGTGTGTTTCACCGAAGTGGTAAACGTTTCAGACCTGCATCACTTCGGGCTTTCCTCCCACATTAAGCTGACATGCTTTGATATAACTGGAATACTGTTAAAAGCGGCATTAAACCCAACTCACTCACTCACTACCTGTACAAACATGGAGTCCTACATGCACAATGTATTTTTGATAATGACACTATCAGCTGTGCTAACTTGGAATATTGCACCAAGTTTGGGAAGGTTTGTCAATGTCATTGTAAAGTGTTATGTGGGGGATTTTTTCATTTCATATTTTAAACAGAAATCTGTTGGTCCAAAGTTGGTTATACATGATTAAGATCAGTTCTGTGTAATAGAACCACAAGAGAGAAAAGAAAGATCATCACGACCTGAATATGTGAAGATTCCGGGTTAGAATTGGTCATCAGCAACCCATGCTTGTCGTAAGAGGCGACCAACGGAATCGGGTGGTCAGGCTGATCCACCTCTTGCAAATGTGTAGATCGATGCTCATGGTGTCAATCACTGATTTGTCTGTCAAGACTCAATTATTTACAGACCTCCGTCATATAGCTGGAATATTGCTGAGTGTGGCGTTACAACAACAAACAAACAAAAAACAAACCAAGAATATATGATCATGTTCATTCTTGTTCCAATGGGTAATCGCACCATTGAGATCATTAGAATGATGACCAATCAAGGAAGGTCGAGAAACAGTTTTTCGCACCCTAAATATTGGTAATGTAGGATCTGGTTTAAGTGTTTTATGATTGGATAAATGTCTGGATTTGTCATTCCAACTCAGAATGGAGCGTTATTTGTTATCAAATTACATATTTATACCCCTGTTTACGAAGTAAATCGGGGGTATATAGCGTTCCGTTCGTCCGTCCTTCTGTCCGTCCGTCCTTCCTTCCGTCCGTCCGTCCTTCCGCCCAAGCTTTTGTACGGCCCATAACTTTTTAACCATGCACCCTAGCTTCACCAAACTTGTTACACACATTTACCACAATGAGTACTTGTGCCTTTTGCTTGTTTGAAGATTCTGAACTTTTTAATTTTTGCCGTTTCCATGGAAACATTAAAAAACTTAAACTTTTAAGGTGGGTCTTTTGTACGGCCTATATCTTTTTAACTATGCACCCTAGCTTCACCAAACTTCCTACACACATTAACCACAATGAGTACTTGTGCCTTTTGCTAGTTTGAAGATTCTGAATTTTTTTAATTTTGCTGTTTCCATGGAAACATTAGAAACTTAAACTTTTAGGGTGGGTATTTTGTACGGCCTATATCTTTTTTAACCATGCACCCTAGCTTCACCAAACTTGCTACACACATTAACCACAATGAGTACTTGTGCCTTTTGCTAGTTTGAAGATTCTGAATTTTTTTATTTTTGCCGTTTCCATGGAACCATGGTGAAACATAAATTTTTGGTAGAGTTTTTGTACGATCTATGTTTACAATATTATGTATCCTAGCTTCAGCAAACTTGCTACATTAACCGCTATGATTGTTTTTTTTATCTTTTATAAGATTCTGAAAGTTTTGTCTTTTGCTGTTTTCATGGAAACATGGAATTTAGAAATTTTGATGACTGGTTTTGTATAGCTAATATATTTTCAAAAATTGTTTCCACACATGTAGATCATCATAAGTATCTGTGCTTTGTGATAGTTTGAATTTATGAATTCTTTACCATATCTGTTAAGGCTAGATGGAAATTATTAATTTATTGATTTTCTTATATGATATTGTTCCATTTTTTTATGTGTTTTTTTTATCAACAATTTTTGGTCCTTTTGATAATTCTTCTTATCAAATTTTTATTCAAAGGTGTTCATGGTGATCTACTTCCTCGTAGTGAACACTGGTAACATGGGAGATTTGGGGGGGGGGGGGGGGGGGGGGGGGCATTTAAAACATTTAAGTTAAAATCAGTTAGAAATATGTAATATTTCATTAATAAACCAACTATTTACTATTTGTTGTTGACCAGCGGGGATAACGGGGGTATGTGAGCTTTGCTCACTTCTTTCTTGTTGTTATTGTATCCATGCCTTTGTAGGGATGATGTCAGTATTGAGTGTTATTCATTGTCAAAACACATAGGATGTCCTATGTTCCAAGTTTGCACAGTTGAATTGGTCAATCCAAGCTGGTATTGAGTGTTATTCATTGTGAAAAAAACAAATAGGGTGTAATATTCCATGCTTGTAAGAAGAATTAACCATTTTGGATTTTTTAGTTTACTTGTATTTTCTATATAGCCTCATGAGAAAATGTGGTCCTGAATGTCTCCTGCCAAATACATGAAAACCTGCCACACGCAATCAAAGATATATACCATGATAATGTAGCTCTTTTTCTCCATAGCTATAGTGTTACATAAAGAGAAACAGTCACACTAAACGGCCGTTGCTCAATACATGAATGCTTGTCACGCAACTCTATATGCGGTAACCCCACACTCCAGCACTGGGCGAGCAGTCATTTATTATCTGCAGCTATAATCTAACGTTGGAAAGATGCATGCAACTCGTTAACAAGCACCTGCAATGCTATCAGACAGACGCCCTACACCTGCTGATTCCTGGTAGGCAGGGAATTGATATCAACCCTTGATTGTCAAACATGGCACTCTGACCCACAGCAATAGGCAGTAGCCCAGCTTAAAGCAATTCAATGAGAACATTTTGTATTGAAAAAAGATTGGTGGTAAAAAAAAATTAATTTTGTCCCAAGATTTAACTTAACAGCTCCAGTTGTACAATGTAATGTTCCATTCTTTCGGAAACAATAATATTTAGTTTCAGTTGTATTTTTACCAACACAGGGAAACTATTTTGAAAGTTGGTTCAAGTTTTTTGTCATATATATCTTTTACTTTTCGCATTTTGTCTTGATATTGATCAGGCTTTTCTTTATCTTTGAGATAAGATTCATAATTATTAATTTGCTTCATATTTTTTTATCTCAAAATATGTTTTTGCTCTCTTTTTTTCCAATGAGCTTTTACATTTCATGCATGTAATCTTGCATCATTTTCTTACTTAGTTGATATCTGACATGATCATTTACATGTGAACTAGTTTCCGTGGTCTAGTGGATAGAGCATTCTGCTGGAGAGCGCAAGGCCAGTGGTTTGATTCCCTGGCCGTGTCATACCAAAAGGTTGTACTTGTTGTTACCCTGCCTGGCGCTTGGCATTAAGGGGATAAAACAAGGACTGGTTGGCTTGGACTCAGTGTACGGTGTCAGTATCCATGTTAAACTGTGGCATGGCATCTGAGTGGGTTAGCACTATAAAACTGGCATAAGTCCAGAATAGTTCAAGCAACCATCCACACCTGTGCTTGAACACAACGTTCAACCCCTTGTCACTTCACCTTCCCTATTGATCTGGCAGTTGTCATGGAAATGATGCGAGTTGGGGGTGGCCTAGTGGTCAAAGGTGCCACAAGTATTGTGCAGTTATGACCCCTAGTCTTGCCAGGATCCTCTGATCTTGGTTTACACAATCTGTCAGACACCTACAACCTGTTACAGAGCTGGTTCCAATTTCATGCTTGTAGAACTGAAATATTGTTGAAAAGTGACTTTAATCCCAACTAATCCATGGCAAAATATACTACAAAAAAACACAAAAATAAATTGACAGATAAGACTTTAAGGCTTAACTTGAAACTAGGCACATGTCGTATGCCAAATGGAAATAGCAGTATGTGTTGTTCTGCTATATCACCATGACAGTCTCAATAAGTGACATCCTTGTCATCGTTGTGACTCCATCTCATGATGGAGCATGGGACATCATGAATATTCAGGCATCGGACACCTTCCAAGTTCTGCTTGTGTTGGTCAAGACTGCGAGGACTGTATATCAATAGAGGGCATCCTTGATGTATTTCCATGGTAATTGCAGTAACTTTGCGCTTTGTAGTCTGATGATCATACTAAATGAAACCTATTGTCTTCACTGCTGAACTAGCAGACAAAACAGCTGCCACAACACTGTATGCTTCAAGCTTGATACTGATGTGACGTTCAAGGAAGGATTAAACCCAACTCACTCACTCACTCACTGCTTAACGAGCAGACAGAATGAGCTGCCATAACACTGTATGCTTCTAGCTTGACACTGACATGGTTCAAAGGATTAAACCCAACTCACTCACTCAATCATTACATTATCACTGGTGACAGACTTCCTGCTCAGCCTATGTACAATCCGCCAAGTGTCTGGTAAGCTCTTGGATGTGTTACAAATAGTGATCATTAAAATATGAAAGTTCTAAAAGTAACAAACAAACTTCAGATCAAAACACTGAATATAAAAGATACATTGAATATTAGATGCTCTACTGTTAAACCTTTCTTGATTTGAAATCAGATGATGATATTTGTTCCCAATGACAGTGGATGTTGTTTGTTCTGCTGCAATGACACAGCTTACAGTGAGCTACAATCCCACTTACAGGTATCGCGAAAGACGGAAGACTATGAAGCAGGACCATCGTGTCAGCGTGCGCTTCCCCCTGAGACCCGACTACCTCGTCAGTGAACACAACATCCAAGAACGCATGGTAATGTTACAGTGTCCTGCAGCTGCATATACTCATGGGGGGAAATAAAGGAACATATAAGGAAGCAGGTGTTAGAAAGACTTCAGGGCCTCCGTGCACAAAGCGATCTTAGCGCTAAGACTATCGTAAGCCTATGTTAATGTATGGTAGTTACGATCATCTTAGTGCTAAGATCGCTTTGTGCCCTGATGTGTCCAAATATTGACTGCATGGAGATGAGTTGCAATCGTGGTTCCCTTATCAATTATGATAAAGTACTTGAGATTTCCACTGTAATTTTCCCATATGAAATTGTTGGAGTCTTAGTATTTACCAATCTCATTAAAATCAGATCTTAGTTCTCACTATCGCTAAACAAAGATCTGAGGACATCCCATTACGGGTCACGTCAGAATAACCTTTCATCCAACCAATCAGATCGTCACTTACCAGATCATGAAAGTGACAGTCGGAATATGTGTTCTAATCATGCAACCTCACAAACGTTAACACGGGGTATTCAGAACGACAGTTACGGCCCGTACGACTGATTTCATCAGAATTATCGTCTATCTCTCGCTTCCATGGGATAAACATTTGAATGAAAGAGGCATTGCACGGTATGTGGGAAGCAATGCCATAGAATCTCAACCATATATTAGACATTCCAGAATGTTCGTTGTTCAGTTTTCAAAATTTTAACTGAAAACTGTACGTGTCATCATAATTTCCAAGCGTAGTCTGAAATGAAAGTCACCACGTTGAAACAGGTGCCGTAAAGCTCGAGAAAGCTGCTTTCTAATTGGCTGATGTCGTCTTCTTGTTAGACATTTCAGTGGTCAGTCAAAGTTCGCGAAAGGTCGTTCTGACGTGACCTGTAATGGAATGTCCTCAGATCTTTGTTTAGCGAAAGCGAGAACTAAGATCTGATTTAAATGAGATTGAGTATCTACTGACAGAAAGATATGTTTTTGAAACTTGGCAGTAATGTGGCATGTTCGGGGTCAAGAATAGACTATAATAAATAAACTGTTACTATTTCATGGCATTTGGTTGACTAACGAAGCAATGTTGATATGTTTGTTTCGATAAAACTGAAAAGAAAATTAAACCATGCCCACTTATAAACTAACTGTTTCCTGATTGGCTGATTATAGAATGGTAAGGATTGTGTTGCATAATTGTGCTTAATGATGTCACCCATATCATATGTATATATCTCGCTTATCCCATGTCTCATTTTGTGATTGCAACACTTTGGAAGGGATTAATTACTGGCAGTTATAATAACCTCTTTCTCAAACTGACCCGCAGGAAAGACGAATGTTACTTCAATATCATTACAATCTTGTCTCCAATTCAATACCTTTCTCCATTATTAACATCTGCATGTCATAAACAAATGTAAAGGGTCAGTTCCAAATGGAGAATAATATGGCCACATTATGTTGTGGATAGTATACACCTTGTTAAGTGCCATACACACACCTAAGGGTGGACTGTTGTGGTCCTCTTGTGTTGAATGAGTCGTGACTGACAAAATTAAAACCGTAATGAAGCTGACATCTGATTGGCTGAAACAAACCGTACATCCTTTGCCGATTTTGCTCAGGGTTCACCTGACTTAAGCTATTGAGGGTTTGTCAGATCTTTGTGGAGTATTCAAGGTAATAAGCGCCCCGCTCTTATAAGCGCCCACAGCAATATTTGCTAATGTATTGGCTAGTGAACAAGCCAAATTAGCACCCCTTCCGATTGATCAATGAACACAAGACTTTTTTATTCGCGTATAATACGCACTCGTGTGTTATATGCACCCTTAATTATGGGCAATTAAATCCTGGTAAAATATATCTGTCGTACATAAACTGCCTGTCCTGCTGTAACTGTCAGTCCTGCTGTAACTGTCAGACCTGCTGTAACTGTCTGTCCTGCTGTAACTGTCAGTCCTGCTGTAACTGTCAGTTCTGCTGTAACTGTCAGTCCTGCTGTAACTGTCAGTCCTGCTGTAACTGTCAGTCCTGCTGTAACTGTCAGTCCTGCTGTAACTGTCAGTCCTGCTGTAACTGTCAGACCTGCTGTAACTGTCTGTCCTGCTGTAACTGTCAGTCCTGCTGTAACTGCCTGTCCTGCTGTAACTGTCTGTCCTGCTGTAACTGTCAGACCTGCTGTAACTGTCAGTCTTGCTGTAACGGTCAGTTCTGCTGTAACTGTCAGACCTGCTGTAACTGCCAGTCCTGCTGTAACGGTCAGTTCTGCTGTAACTGTCTGACCTGCTGTAACTGCCTGTCCTGCTGTAACTGTCAGTCCTGCTGTAACTGTCAGTCCTGCTGTAACTGTCAGACCTGCTGTAACTGTCTGTCCTGCTGTAACTGTCAGTCCTGCTGTAACTGCCTGTCCTGCTGTAACTGTCAGTCCTGCTGTAACTGTCTGTCCTGCTGTAACTGTCAGACCTGCTGTAACTGTCAGTCTTGCTGTAACGGTCAGTTCTGCTGTAACTGCCAGTCCTGCTGAACAGTCTGACCTGCTGTAACTGTCTGACCAGCTGTAACTGTCTGTCCTGCTGTAACTGCCAGCCCTCCTGAACAGTCTGACCTGCTGTAACTGTCTGTCCTGATGTTCCAGACCCAGCTGGAGAAGTACCTGTGCAGCCTCCTCAAGTGCAAGTCCTTCAAGAACCACTCTGAGACTGTGAGTAGCATCACACTCATCACGTTCCCTCGGACATACATGTAGCAGGAACAACTGTGTTTGGAATCATAGTTTGTGCATGGAATTGGTGAAAGACTGATGTGATGTGTGTGGGAGATAAGAACAGTACTTCATGATAATTCTAAGAATCACTGCATTCTTTTAATATAAACTAGGCCTTGTTGTGCTGTGTGCTGGACATGGATGACGGAAAGAGTTATCTCCCTTTGTGTGGCTCCATTGCTGGGTATCAGCCTTTTGGTGACACTGAGCTCATTGGTTGTTATTTCTGAAATCAACCCATGAAATGAAGGCAATGAACCCTAAACAGACTTGTATTCAAATATATCCTTTTATATGTTTTATTCTGTTTACGAGTGCATAATTAAGAGCCGAATCCTAAGTTTAACAAGACAATAGTTGATCAGGGCCCCGTTCCACAAAGCGATCGTAGCGCTAAGACGATCGTAACTCCCATTCTTTAACATTGGCTTACGACTGTCGCAGGGCTACGATCGCTTTGTGGAACGTGGCCCTGACCTGAGATTGTTTGTGTAACAACATGTCAAAGTAGGCCCTGTACATGTTAAGGGGCACAGGTGATCCATGGCCATAACATACAGTTTCAGTCTGCTGTTCATGCATGTTGAAATTCTTTCCCAGGCCCTGTTTAACCCAACTCAGTCGGTATATGTTATTTGTTCCTTGCTGTTCCAGATGCGTTTCTTCGAAGTCAGTCCATTGTCCTTCATCAACAAGCTGGGTCGTAAGGGGAAGGAGGGGTTGATCAAGAAGTGTTCCGGGGGTCGGAGGATCAACATTGGCTGTTGTGGCTGCTTGAGCAAAGTCCACCTGGCTGGTACTTGGAACAGACGGTAGGGACCACAGCTTACGTGTGTGCGTTCATCCATCGTAGACTTTATATTACTAATTGGTATATACTGGTAGCTGGGTCATTCTAATAAAGCGATTCCAAGGTAATATAGGCCCTTGTACCAGTTAAAACTGTTTGTGCTATTAACCATGTTATTATTTGCAGCCACAGTGATACCCTGGCGTACCCTGTTGCATGTTATCCCACCTGCATAGATCGATGCTCATGATGTCAATGACTGGATTGTTTGGTCCAGAGTTTATTATTTCCAGACTGCCGTTATGTGGCTGGAAGATTGCTGAGAGCAGTGTCAAACAACAAACGAAACAATACAAAAACTTTGAGTGTAAGAAAGTCTGCTACACTGCACACAGGATTGGTTGAAATTTCCAGTGTTGACTTAACCTTCAGTAGGTCTGTCTGTCGGGTCCCTCACTCACACACCTGTTTCAGATGGCTGGTGATCAAGGACAACTTCGTGGCGTACATCCGACCAGAAGATGGCGCTGTCAGTGACGTGATGTTGATGGACTCGGAGTTCAATGTGCAGTGTGGGATGGCAACCACAGGGGCACCTCACGGCGTCCTCATCTCGAATCTCAACAGGTAGATATGTGTAGATTTTTTCGATTAAAATCATGAATTTAATGCAGAAAATGTCTATGTGCTCCTGAAAATGGAGGTGAAATTAAAGTACAAATATCAGTGCTCTTCTTGGCTTGATGACCCGTGAAGATCCGGGGTAGAATAGGTCTTCAGCAACCCATGCTGGCCGTAAAAGGTTTACTTTGCTTGTCGTAAAAGGCAACTAACATGATCGGGTGGTCAGGCTCGCTGACTTGGTTGATGCATGTCATCGATCCCAATTGCGTGGATCAATGCTCATGATATTAATCACTGGATTGTCTGGTCCAGACTCGATTATTTACAGACCGCCGTCATATACCGGTAGTTGGAATATTGCTGAGTGCGGCGTAAAACAACAAACAAACCAACCAACCCTTGGCTTGAGTAATTAGTACATAGAGAAAATACAGGTTTACAGATGAAATATTATAAGTCAGAACAATATGTAAGGAATATGCATGCCATGGAGGTACACATGCATTGTGCAGTCTCAGATCCAATGCACTCTGTATTCAGTCAGTGCAACGTTGTAAAAAAACTGGAATAGAAATAATAAACGCCAGAAATTATCCCTCAGTTGTTACCAACATTGTGCATCAGGAGATACACATGCATTCTTCAGTCTCAGATCCATATTCAGTCAGTGCGATGTTGTAAAAAACTGGAATAGAAATAATAAACGCCAGAAATTATCCCTCAGTTGTTACCAACATTGTGCATCAGGAAATGTTTTCGTTCTGATTTGAAGTCTGACATGGCACCAGAATGAGTTGTGCATGAACCTGCCTGTGTGTCCCCAGGAAGCTGCTGATCAAGTGCTGGACGTCCCGCAAGGCCCGCGAGTGGAAGGAGTGTCTGGAGGACCGGGCCCAGTCCACGGCCCGGGACTACACCCAGGTCAACCGCTTCAAGTCCTACGCCCCACACCGGGAGGACTCCTATGCCAGATGGTAAGACGACCTAGGATGTCCTTGACAGCTGCACTCTCAGATTACAGATTAGACTCAGACGTTCGCTAAATGTATGGATTTGTTAAAACCTGTAATTCAAGCGACCTTTAATTCTGCCGCTTTTGCTTTAACTCCTTACCTTTAATGCATAAAAAATGTGGCTGTTCCAACAAACACAACAATCTTCTTGCACATTTGTCGCTATATATCTATACTCAACAACAAAAGTTCCTGTGACACCAATATTTTAGTGTATTTTTCAAACAAGTAAAGTTTGTTTTTCAATATTGTAGTACATGTATGGAATCACTGCTACAGAAAAGTATCCAAAAGTTGACTTTTATGCAAGCCCCATGCATTTCACTACCAAAGAATGGGTATAAAAACATGTGTGTTAACGAGATTCCATATGCATTGTTTAGCATCATGCTGACAACAACCACTCAGAAAAACAACAAAATTATGCAATTATTCAACATTACGAAATACCACACCTGTCCGAAAATGAGCATCTGCGAGCCATTGATATGCTTGAAGGAGGATCGAGTCAACGTGATGTTGCAAGACAATTTAACATCCACAGAAACACCATTTGGTGTTTATGGCAATGTTGGCAACAGACGAATGCAGTCAGAGACGATCCTTGGAGTGGCAGGCCAGGCGTAACAAATAATCGACAAGACAACTGGATTCGAACAACATACCTACGAAATCGATTCCAGCCAGCAACAGTGACTGCAAGAAGCATCCCTGGCCTTCGATGAATATCTTCACAAACAGTATGTCGTAGCCTCAGATGTGCAGGGATTGTCCCTAGAAGACCCGCCAGACGTCCCATTTTGACAGGAAACCACCGTCAAGCACATCTACAGTGGTGCAGACAGCGTCTACGTCGACCACATGTTCCACAGACAATACAGGAACTTCGAAACATGCTCCAGCAGATATGGACAGATATCCCACAGGTGCAACGCCTGGTCCATTCCATGAGACGAAGACGCGTTGCTTGTATCGCAACCAGACATGGACACACACGCTATTGATTTGTAAATTGACATTTTGGCATGTTCATGTTTTTTTATGATATCAAGCATTTTCTGAAGTCAGTTTGGCAAATTAAACCATTTGAAAACTTACAGGAGTCTTTTATATGTTGCAAACCAAAATTGTTTCAGATTTGGTAAAAAACATAACTTTGCATCAAATCTTATTCAATGTCACAGGAACTTTTGTTGTTCAGTATATGTACGAATCATTACATCTCCAGAGACTGTTATGGGCAATGTGGATATCCCCTTATGATACAGCTGCAGTATGTAGAAATGTGACCAAACACACTCCTCCACTGTGGCTGTAGCTATGTCAGCAGATTGTAATTGATTGTTTCAGGTTTGTGGATGCCTCTTCCTACTTCGAAGCTGTTGCCGACGCCCTGGAGAAGGCCAAGGAGGAGATCTTCATAGCGGACTGGTGGTGAGTCTCCCAGACAGATTCAGTAGTCAACTGTCAACCTGATACAAACACTAGATAAAGCCAAACTTTTACAAGTTATTTTTCAATGGAGTATCAAACAAATTTCATGTTACATAAATTTGTTCAAGCTGACTAACTTAGGTGTGTCTCTGGGTGTGTTCCGTAGGTTGAGTCCAGAGATCTACATGAAGCGACCAATGGTAGATGGCGACAAATGGAGGCTGGACGTCATCCTGCAGAGGAAAGCAGTGAGTGGGCAGGGGGGAGTGTCAAGGGGAGGGGGTAGTGTCTGGGGGAGGGGGGAGTGTCAAGGGAAGTGTTGATGTGTGTGAGGAAGTGTTGATGTGTATTGGGTAGTGTTGATGTGTGTGGGGTAGTGTTGATGTGTATTGGGTAGTGTTGATGTGTGTGGGGTAGTGTTGATGCGTGTGGCGCCGCAATTTGCTGTGCAGAGTTGTTTTCCTAGGGCATGTGAGAAACCTTTTCGCCCCGATTATGTTTCTATGTTTGTCAGCTCCATACCCATGTTTTTGGGTTTTACCGAAGTGGTAAACGTCTGAGACCTGCATCACTTTGGGCTTTTCTCCAACATGAAGCTGACACACTGTGATATAACTGGAATACTGTTCAAAGCGGTGTTAAACCCAACTCACTCACTCACTATTGTTCTGCTATTTATGGACAAGTGTGATAATACTGTGGCATCATGGTGGGCACGATGCAGGAGAAACTAACCCAGGTTGTTGTGTGCAGGAGAAACTAACCCTGATTATTGTGTGCAGGAGAAACTAATCCAGGTTGTTGTGTGCAGGAGAAACTAATCCAGGTTGTTGTGTGCAGGAGAAACTAACCCAGGTTGTTGTGTGCAGGAGAAACTAACCCAGGTTGTTGTGTGCAGGAGAAACTAACCCAGGTTGTTGTGTGCAGGAGAAACTAACCCTGATTATTGTGTGCAGGAGAAACTAATCCAGGTTGTTGTGTGCAGGAGAAACTAACCCAGGTTGTTGTGTGCAGGAGAAACTAATCCAGGTTGTTGTGTGCAGGAGAAACTAACCCAGGTTGTTGTGTGCAGGAGAAACTAACCCAGGTTGTTGTGTGCAGGAGAAACTAACCCTGATTATTGTGTGCAGGAGAAACTAATCCAGGTTGTTGTGTGCAGGAGAAACTAACCCAGGTTGTTGTGTGCAGGAGAAACTAACCCTGATTATTGTGTGCAGGAGAAACTAATCCAGGTTGTTGTGTGCAGGAGAAACTAACCCAGGTTGTTGTGTGCAGGAGAAACTAACCCAGGTTGTTGTGTGCAGGAGAAACTAACCCTGATTATTGTGTGCAGGAGAAACTAATCCAGGTTGTTGTGTGCAGGAGAAACTAACCCAGGTTGTTGTGTGCAGGAGAAACTAACCCAGGTTGTTGTGTGCAGGAGAAACTAACCCTGATTATTGTGTGCAGGAGAAACTAATCCAGATTATTGTGTGCAGGAGAAACTAATCCAGGTTGTTGTGTGCAGGAGAAACTAACCCTGATTATTGTGTGCAGGAGAAACTAATCCAGGTTGTTGTGTGCAGGAGATGGGGGTGAAGGTGTACATCCTGCTGTACAAGGAGGTGGAGCTGGCCCTGCAGATCAACAGCCGCTACAGCAAACACATCCTCATGAACAGGAACACCGAGAACATCAGGGTAAGTACGTCCGCACGCCTTCTGTCCATGTGTCAAGCTGGAACTTTGTAGACCATCCATCATGCAGTTATGAAATTCTGGGGTTGTTCATTTCTCAATGGCAATAGATGACTGACAGGTTATGGAACAATAGTCCAATCACACCCGAGTATTTATGATCTCAGAAGAATAGTACATGAAGACATGCCAATACGGATTATCAACATCTCTAGTAAGTAGCTGATCATCTCATTCAAAGTACATCTTCCTTAAAGAGAGATCCGTTTTCGAAACACAGCATCCACAGCTCCTGATTGTTGTGATGGTGGTTGTGTTAGATTTGGATATCATATTGAAAAGAAATCTTAATTGGTGTGAAGGTACAGCTACCCATCCTTGTATTGCAACAGTGTCACACTAATACTTCAGAATATAGTTGAAACCACCCCCCCCACACCCACCACCCCTAAACCCCCATTGTGACCAGCAAGAACATTGGCTTCCTTTTATAACTGAAACATGACTTACTTTGGATGGTAGAAAGAGTTTCAAATCTGTCAGTCGTAAGCATTTGAGTAAGTATGGCATGGTCTCAGATGGACTATGTTTACAAGACATTAAAATGTCATTATTACAAAAAGTTAATGACAAAGTGTTGTAATGGCAGACAATTTGATCACAGCATGACATGTTGGCAGGTTCTGCGGCATCCTGATCATGGCGCCAACGGGGTGTTGTTGTGGGCTCATCACGAGAAGCTTGTGGTCATCGACCAATCCGTGGCCTTCCTGGGAGGGATAGATCTGTGCTATGGTCGGTGGGATGATGAGAAACACAGGTAGGTGGAGGCCAAGGATGTATTTGTTGCATGTAAAAAAAATTAAGAAGTCCTGAAACAGTTTTAGGAATGAGTTATATTTATTGATGTCCAGCTTTAAATTCATGAGTTTAAATATATATTGGTCTCTATTACCTACGTATAATTTTGCAATGTAGAATAGGTCCCCAACATCCTATGCTGGTCGTAAGAGACCTAATGCATGGGCAGATACAGAGGGGGGGTTCGGGGTTGCGCAACCCCCCCCCCCCCCCCCCCCCCCTTTTTATTTCGAAAAAAATCTTTATTTTTGTATAAATTACCACCAAAGACAATAAATGGATCTTAATTGTGCACCCCCCCTTTTCAAAAAAGCTGTAACCGCCCCTGTAATGGATTGAGTGGTCAGGCTCAGTGACTTGGTTGATAATGTGTCAGTGTAACCCAACTGTGTGGACTGTTGGTCATACAAGAATGTCTGGTCCAGACTTGATTACTTAAATCCCACCGTCATCTAGCTGGACTGCTGAGTGCAGTGTTAAAGAAACATCTTCTTTTTTTTTTTAAAAAGTCCTTGAGCATAAATGTTTAGCCATTTCGTAAGTTGAGCGGCCATTTCCTAACAACAGACTGTGTGTATGCTTTGTGAACCAGAACACAGGGCCGTATACTCAGAGTGTATACTCAGATGTTTGTTTGGGAGGTATGTTTATCAAGATGCTGTACTGCTGACACATGCAGAAAGATATTTAGGCCCCTTCCAGACCTCTATTGAGACTTCATTAAGTGACTGTAGGACTGACTGAAGGAATCATGATGTCATGTGTGTGGGGCGGTGTTGATGTGTGTGGGAGGGTGTTGATGTGTGCGGTGTGGTGTTGATGTGTGTGGGGCGGTGTTGATGTGCCTGAGTCAGTGTTGATGTGTCTGGGGCGGTGTTGATATGTGCGGTGTGGTGTTGATGTGTGTGGGGCAGTGTTGATGTGCCTGAGTCAGTGTTGATGTGTCTGGGTCAGTGTTGATGTGTCTGGGGTGGTGTTGATGTGTCTGGGGCGGTGTTGATGTGTGTTGGAGGGTGTTGATGTGTGTGGGGCAGTGTTGATGTGTGTGGGGCGGTGTTGATGTGTGTCTGGGTCAGTGTTGATGTGTCTGGGGCGGTGTTGATGTGTGTGGGGCGGTGTTGATGTGTGTGGGGCGGTGTTGATGTGTCTGGGGCGGTGTTGATGTGTCTAGGGCGGTGTCGATGTGTCTGGGGTGGTGTTGATGTGTCTGGGTCAGTGTTGATGTGTCTGTGGTGGTGTTGATGTGTCTGGGGTGATGTTGATGTGTGTGGGAGGGTGTTGATGTGTGTTGGGTGGTGTTGATGTGTCTGGGGCGGTGTTGATGTGTCTGGGGTGGTGTTGATGTGTCTGGGGCGATGTTGATGTGTGTGGGTCAGTGTTGATGTGTGTTGGGTGGTGTTGATGTGTCTGGGGCGGTGTTGATGTGTCTGGGGCAGTGTTGATGTGTCTGGGGCAGTGTTGATGTGTGTTGGGCGATGTTGATGTGTGCGGTGTGGTGTTGATGTGTGTGGGGCGGTGTTGATGTGTCTGGGGCAGTGTTGATGTGTCTGGGTCAGTGTTGATGTGTGTTGGGCGGTGTTGATGTGTGGGAGGGTGTTGATGTGTCTGGGTCAGTGTTGATGTGTCTGGGGCGGTGTTGATGTGTGTTGGGCGGTGTTGATGTGTGCGGTGTGGTGTTGATGTGTTTAGGGCGGTGTTCATGTGTGTGGGGCGGTGTTGATGTGTCTGGGTCAGTGTTGATGTGTGTCTGGTGCGGTGTTGATGTGTGTGAGGCGGTGTTGATGTGTCTGGGGTGGTGTTGATGTGTCTGGGGCGGTGTTGATGTGTGTGGGAGGATGTTGATGTGTGTTGGGTGGTGTTGATGTGTCTGGGGCAGTGTTGATGTGTCTGGGTCAGTGTTGATGTGTCTTGGGCGGTGTTGATGTGTCTGGGTCAGTGTTGATGTGTCTGGGTCAGTGTTGATGTGTGTCTGGTGCGGTGTTGATGTGTCTGAGGCGGTGTTGATGTGTGTTGGGCGGTGTTGATGTGTGCGGTGTGGTGTTGATGTGTCTGGGTCAGTGTTGATGTGTCTGGGGCGGTGTTGATGTGTCTGGGGTGGTGTTGATGTGTCTGAGGCGAGGTTGATGTGTGTGGGAGGGTGTTGATGTGTGTTGGGTGGTGTTGATGTGTCTGGGGCGGTGTTGATGTGTGTCTGGGTCAGTGTTGATGTGTCTGGGGCAGTGTTGATGTGTGTTGGGCGATGTTGATGTGTGCGGTGTGGTGTTGATGTGTGTGGGGCGGTGTTGATGTGTCTGGGGCAGTGTTGATGTGTCTGGGTCAGTGTTGATGTGTGTTGGGCGGTGTTGATGTGTGTGGGGCGGTGTTGATGTGTCTGGGTCAGTGTTGATGTGTGTCTGGTGTGGTGTTGATGTGTGTGGGGTGGTGTTGATGTGTCTGGTGCGGTGTTGATGTGTGTCCGGGTCAGTGTTGATGTGTGTCTGGGTCAGTGTTGATGTGTCTGGGGTGGTGTTGATGTGTCTGGGACGGTGTTGATGTGTGTTGGGCGGTGTTGATGTGTGCAGTGTGGTGTTGATGTGTCTGGGTCAGTGTTGATGTGTCTGGGGCGGTGTTGATGTGTCTGGGGTGGTGTTGATGTGTCTGGGACGGTGTTGATGTGTGTTGGGCGGTGTTGATGTGTGGGAGGGTGTTCATGTGTCTGGGTCAGTGTTGATGTGTCTGGGGCGGTGTTGATGTGTGTTGGGCGGTGTTGATGTGTGCGGTGTGGTGTTGATGTGTTTGGGGCGGTGTTGATGTGTGTTGGGCGGTGTTGATGTGTCTGGGTCAGTGTTGATGTGTGTCTGGTGCGGTGTTGATGTGTGTGGGGCGGTGTTGATGTGTCTGGGGTGGTGTTGATGTGTCTGGGGCGGTGTTGATGTGTGTGGGAGGGTGTTGATGTGTGTTGGGTGGTGTTGATGTGTTTGGGGCGGTGTTCATGTGTGTGGGGCGGTGTTGATGTGTCTGGGTCAGTGTTGATGTGTGTCTGGTGCGGTGTTGATGTGTTTGGGGCGGTGTTGATGTGTCTTGGGTGGTGTTGATGTGTCTGGGGCGGTGTTGATGTGTGTGGGAGGGTGTTGGTGTGTGTTGGGTGGTGTTGATGTGTCTGGGGCAGTGTTGATGTGTCTGGGTCAGTGTTGATGTGTCTTGGGCGGTGTTGATGTGTCTGGGTCAGTGTTGATGTGTCTGGGTCAGTGTTGATGTGTGTCTGGTGCGGTGTTGATGTGTCTGAGGCGGTGTTGATGTGTCTGGGGCTGTGTTGAAGTGACTTGGGTGGTGTTGATGTGTCTGGGGCGGTGTTGATGTGTCTGGGGCAGTCTGTAGGACTGACTGAAGGAATCATGTCACAGCAATGTATGTCTATTTCACACTGGACTTCCTCCGTGGTCTTGTTGTAGTGCGTCCGCCCGGAGAGCGAAATGCCCGGGGTTTTAATCCCCAGACGCGTCATACCAAAAGACATTAAAAGGTGATTCTTGCTGTTACCCAGTCTGGTGCTCAGCATTAAGGGGCTAAACAAGGACTGGTCGACTCGGAATCAGTATATTGTGTCTGAGTGAGGTATTCACGTTAAAAACTAAATCATGGTATCTCAGTGGGCTAGCATTATAAAATCGGCATCAGGTTAGGACTAGTACAAGCAGCCACACACACACACAAGTGCATACACAAGTGCACGCTATATAAGTGCAATAATCTTTGATGTGACGTTAAACGCCATTTCACCTCACCTCACCTGTTTCAGACTGAAGGACCTTGGTTCTGTAGATCTGATGCAGACTTGTTCAGATGTGAATGTCTCCAGTATTAGCATCCGTCCAGAGGAATCAGCCGTCACAGATACCACAGAGGTGAATATCTACATCAGCAGTGGAGCCATTGAGCGAAAAGAGCTTGATGACATTGTTTTTGTTGTTGATATTGTTTTTATTATCTCCCCGGTTTAAAAAAAGGGTTGATATAGCTGTCAGCATGTCCTTCTGTCCATCCGCCCGCCCGTTTTATGTTTCCTGGAGTGTAGTGCTCGTTTCCGGAGCAGAACTCCAAAACTATTAAGTATTGCTGGATGAAACTTGTTATACAGATCAGTCTAGTGGTTAACTGGTGCCTTTTGATGATTTGGAATTATTTTGTTTTCATTAATTTCGGCGAAATCGTGTGTGAAGCGATCGGTAGATTGCACAACTCACCGTTATTAAGAGCAACCACAGTCAGATTACTGATGTTTCTGAAAAAGTTTCTTATCACCAGTTCGTTTTTGCCGGAATTTGCTGAAGGGGTATGGGGAAATTTTTTTCTGCACAAGAGTGGAAAAAGAAATTCCGCTAGGGGGGTGCTCATTATACTTGGGTGCGCATTATACTCAAGAAAATAGGTTAATCATCTTATACACTGACATTGACCATGTTCTTGACATAGCTTGCAACACAGTAGAAACTACTTGTACACCTCAGAACTGAGAGATAAATATTATTGAATTATTGAGTTTCAGAATTTAGGTCTGTCCTTTGCTCTTGCTCAAAAAATACATACAGTCTGATGTTTGTTTTCTAACATTAGCACGACACACTCATGAAATAGTGAGTGAGTTGGGTTTTATGCCGCTTTTAGGTGTATTCAAGTTATATCACTGTGTGTCAGTTTAGTGTGGGAGGAAAGTCCAAAGCCTGAGGTATGTGATGTTTACCACTTTCGTGATGGCAGTCAGGTAGCCTTGTGCTTAAAGCGTTCGCTCGTCACGCCTAAGACCCGGGTTCGATTCCTGACGTGGGTACAATGTGTGAAGCCCATTTCTGGTGTCCCCCAACGTGATATTGCTGGAATATTGCTAAAAGCAGCGTAAAACCATACTCACTCACCCACTTTCGTGAAACCCACGAGCATGGTATGGTGCTGATAAAGTTAGAAACATAATCAGGGTGAACCGGGATTTGAACCTACGATCTTAGGTTGCTGGCGTGCTAAAGGGATGCAACTCTGTATAGCAATCTGCGGCACCTTGGATGACTGGGCCACCCATACTGCCTCCCCACTCAAGTAATTCTCTGCATTTGTAAATTTAAAAGGCTTGTTAGGTTTTGAAGTTTTAAATGTTTGTTTTAGTTAAATGATGATCTGGGCTCCACTGACAAGCTGACTGTACCAACGTCACTGCCGCTGACCCAAGTGTCTCCAGCAGATGTCAGCATCCATGTCATCCCCGCTTCACCTGACGAACACCCAGAGGTCACTATTGAAGATCATGTGACACAATCACAGTCAACTAGCAACTCAAGTAACCAATCAGAAATGGTGACACAAAATTCACAATCAACAGTTAACTCGGAAGTCAATGAATCAGAATTGACTAAAAACGTCATAAACCAATCAGAGTGTACGAGGACTAGTCAGTCACTTGACCAATCAGATGATGTAGCACGTGCAGAAGACAATGATGTTGTTGATGGTGCTGTTATTTCTCGGAATCCTGTTTTAGAAGCTCAGAATTCTGCTGAGAGTGGTGTTCACTTGTGGAAGGAAAAGGCAAACCAGAAAGACCTTAAACTCATCATTCCAAAGAAAGGCCGTGGTGGATCTGGCGCCAAGAGCAAATTAAAAAAATCTGTCGCCATGGATACGGGTGATGTTATAGTGCCTGAAACTGTTCATCATGTTACTGCAAGTCACAGACACAGTGCCAGCAGTGACACCTCAAGCAGATCGCATAATTCGGAGACTGAATTGATTGGTGGCGAACAAAGAACTCCGCAAGGTAAAGTAATCGGGAAGACTGGCACCGATGTCCCCGATATGTTCAGTGCAGCAGTCAGGTTGAAAGCAGTCAAGAAGCTGATGGGATCAGAGCAGAATAACAACAAGGGCAGTTCACAGGGCGGGGCAGGGGCACCTGGCAGCCCCACCAGCAACCCCAGTGCACGGAGAAGATGGAAGATGGTGTTTAATGTTCAAAAGTTTGAATCAGTTGTCCGAAAAAATCAAGTCCCGGAAAGAATTCCCAGAGAGCTGTTAATGGGTGAAGCAAAGAAAAAGCGGAAAAATTTTGTGAGTACTTTATGCGATCTTATTTCATTATGTATTGAGAGACATTAAATATACAGTTGTTTCAGAAGAGAAACATTTACAATGAAAAATCATGTATAGAGTAATTCAGTTATTGTTTTTTGTGCATATATATATTATATACATTTCTCTTCCAGCTTATGGGCAAGTTTCGTGAAAGGACAGGAAGGTAGGTGTATTTACGTTTATCATCCAAAACTGACTCACACAGGAGATATTGCTTGGGAGATATTGTGATATCAAGCGATATCTACACTGTAGATATCGCTGCAATGCTTAGGAGACCATTGTGACATCGTTGTTACCATGACGTCACAATCAAATGACATCACAAATGGCTCTACAACTGAAGCTGTTAGCAGTACTTTTTACACTTAAGACACTGCTTATTACTGTCTACAAACTGAAAAAATTGGAAGAATGATGTTGGATGATAAATATAATCTCACCCTCATGTCTTTTGATATCAAATATTTCAACACTCATTGAAACCCAGGTTTGTCCACATCATGTTCCTCAGGGTGTAGAGTTGTATACATCGACGATCTGCATTACCTTTATTATTATTATTGACATGCCATGATGTAAGAAATAAGATTCAGCCTTGTGGATGCTGAGTCAAAAACGACTCACTCACTTCTGACCTGTAACACATCATGACCTTTCTTGACCTTCTGGATGTTGAGTCAAACATGACCCACTTACTTCTGACCTGTAACACATCATGACCTTACTCACTCCAGCTTTGACCTTCTGGATGCTGAGTCAAACATAACTCACTCACTTCTGACCTTTAACACATCATGACCTTCCTCACTCCAGCTTTGAACTTCTGGATACTGAGTCAAACACATCTCACTCACTTCTGACCTGTAACACATTATGACCTTCCTCACTCCGGCTTCGACCTTCTGGATGCTGAGTCAAACACATCTCACTCACTTCTGACCTGTAACACATCATGACCTTCCTCACTCCAGCTTCGACCTTCGCCTGGATCTGCCGCCTGACATTCAGCGCACGAAGAGCGAGCAGGACATAGCGGAAAAGGGGCTGCAGGGCTCCTCCAGACTGTGGATCGGGAAGGACTACGTCAACTTCATCCATAAAGATTTTGTTGAACTTCATTCCCCATACGCAGGTGAGAGAGTTCAGGTGAAAGCTCTTCTAGTATGGTCAATGAGTTGAATGTAGGCATGAGGCAGGTTAGTGTATGAGCATCCATGCTGGAATAGATCACCCGTGCTGACAGTATATTTGTTCTGGGACTTCATCATTAGTTTACATTTTAACCACCTGTGAACATTTAGTTAATTGTTATGCTACTTGGAGTGAGTGAGTGAGTTGGGTTTAACGCCGCTTTTAACAGTATTCCAGTTATATCGCGGCGTGTCAGCTTAATGTGGGAGGAAAGCCCCAAGTGATGCAGGTCTCAGATGTTTACCACTTCGGTGAAACCCATGAGCACGGGTATGGTGCTGATAAACCTAGAAACATAATCGGGACGAACCAGGATTCAAACCCACAATCACAGGTTTCTGGCGTACCCAAGGGATGCAACTCTGCACAGCGAATTGTGGCGCCCTAGATGACTGAACCACCCGTGCCCCCTGCAACTTAGAATACACTTTGATGTGCACTTGGAGTAGCACGAGCATGGTTAGTGATCAGCAGTTCCTGTCTTTCTTGTAGATCACATTCTTTATATTTCTAGACTTCATCGACCGCAACGTCACCCCTCGCATGCCATGGCACGACATCGGCGCTGTTGTATACGGCAAGGGCGCCCGGGATGTAGCAAGACATTTTATTGCCAGGTGGAATTTTACAAAGGTATTAAGTACAGTGATGTTAAATATCAATTTTGTGTAGCAGTGTGATAGAGGTGATTCCTGAACATGATGACTGCGTGTCATTTCCTTCATTGATATTGACACTGAGCCAACCAGTCCTTGTTTTGTCCCCTTGATGCCGAGCACCAGGCAGGGTAACAACAAGTACCATCTTTTAATGTCTCTTGGTATGATGCGGCCGGGGATTGAAACTCTCTCGACTGGACCACAGAGGCAGTCTCCAGGCAGACTCTACCAAATCCACCACGGGAACAACTAACTGGTAGGAGGCGGGGTGTAGTGACAGATGATACCTAATCATTAAGTTATTACGCTCCATTGTATAAACGACCGCCTCCGTGGTCTAGTGGTAGAGCGTCCTCCGGAGAGCGGAAGGTCCGGGGTTCAATCCCCGGCCGCGACATACCAAAAGACGTTAAAAGATGGTACTTGTTGTTACCCTGTCTGGCGCTCGGCATTAAGGGGCTATAACAAGGACTGGTCGGCTCGGAGTCAGTATACTGTGTCTGAGTGGGGTATTCATGTTAAACTGTGGCATGGTATCTCAGTGGGCTAGCACTATAAATCGGCATCAGTCCGGACTAGTACAAGCAGCCACACAAACACACACACGTACAAGCACGACGCTATATAATTGCAATTATCTTGGACGCGACGTTAAACCCAATTTCACCTCAACTCACCCATTGTATAAACAATAAATTGCTGTTTCAGCTGGCTAAATGTAAGAAGAATAACAACTTCCCTCTGCTTCTGCCAAAAAACAACGTCAAGTGTCAGATTCCACAGTCAATCAAGAACATCACCTTTAATGTCAAAACACAGGTGAGTCACAAGAACATCACCTTTTATGTCAAAACACAGGTGAGTCACAAGAACATCACCTTTAATGTCAAAACACAGGTGAGTCACAAGAACATCACCTTTAATGTCAAAACACAGGTGAGTCACAAGAACATCACCTTTAATGTCAAAACACAGGTGAGTCACAAGAACATCACCTTTAATGTCAAAACACAGGTGAGTCACAAGAACATCACCTTTAATGTCAAAATACAGGTGAGTCACAAGAACATCACCTTTAATGTCAAAATACAGGTGAGTCAAAGAACATCACCTTTAATGTCAAAATACAGGTGAGTCACAAGAACATCGCCTTTAATGTCAAACCACAGGTGAGTCAATGAGAAATTAGAATCGAGAATGATGTTTAGTCCAGTCAGAGCCTTTGAGAATTTGGCCTCCAACTTGCTACACATTCAGGTAGCCAGGCAGCCTGTCAGTCCAGAGGTTCCACTTTGTAATGCTGGTTGTGACTTTCTGCAGATACTGCGCAGCACGTCGGGGTGGTCAGCTGGGATTGAAGCCATCGAGAACTCCATCCAGGAGGCCTACATCCACTGCATAGAGAACTCCAAACACTACATCTACATCGAGGTATTTCCCAGTATAGTGCACACCTTAGTCCAAAAAGACAGCTGCTTAGAAGGGCTGTGTTGCAAGCACACCTATACATAAAGGAACTGGTAGCTGCATGGGGTCATCCCACTCAGTAGTAAACACAGGACCAGTCTAATAATGTCAAGCGCCCCTCTCTAATAAGCGCCCACGGCAATATTTGCTGATATTTTGGCTAGTGAACAATTCAAATTCCTTCCGATTGATCAATGTACACAAGACTTATTTATTCGTGTATAATACGCACTCGTCTGTTATATGCACCCTTAATTATGGACAATTAAATTCTGGAAATATATATCTGTCGTGTATAATACACACAGACATTTTGTATCATTTCAGGCTGTCAGCATAAACCACGAAATTTACGATCTTTCAACTCTGATTTTTTTTCTCCCAAATTTTATTCTAATAAGAGCCCCCTATTTCTAATTTTGAGAGCGCCCTGGGCGCTTATTATGTCGAATATGGTAGTCATGGTTCTCAGGCACCGCCCGCATCATCATAAAGTCCCACCACATGTTTCGTTTCTATTTCCAATTTCAATGAAAAATTATTAATTATCTCAAATGCTACACACTGGCTTACAATATATAATTCATATCAAGAGTGCCTCCAGGCTGTTTCTGATGAGGGGTGGGTGGTGAGTCATATTTTTGGGTAGTGTCATGATTTTGACTTTTGTGTTCGCCAGTGTGTCCACTGTTATTTCTCTATCCAGTCTTTACTGTGGTGCTGTTCAGCTACAGTCACACTCTACACATAGAAAACATGTTTGGTATTTCACTGTTAAAACATTTCAACAAGATTTTAGCTTTGTCTACATTTTCTCCCTGTATATTTTTCCAGAATCAGTTCTTCATAACACAAGTCGACAACTCCTCGTCTGTGTCCAATGACGTGGGAAACGCCCTGTACAAACGGATCCTGCGCGCCCATCGGTAATAGACCGCTCTGTCTAGTAGCAGGGATTTAACTAGGGTTCTAAAATTTGTGTTATTGGTCAGTGAAGTACAAGTCACGTGTACAGAACCATCTCAGTAGTTATAACTATGTAACATGTACTGACATGTGCTGTAGACTTAATACTGGCCTCTTTGTACAGAAGCTATTGTACAGGATTGTTTACGGGTGACAACACCAACTGGTCCACTGTGTCGACGATCACCTTGGAAGCTGTTTACTATCACTACACGGGGCGGTCCGGTAGCCTAGTGATTAAAGCATTTGCTCATCATGCCGAAGACCCGGGTTCGATTCCCGACATGGGTACAATGTGTGAAGCCCATTTCTGGTGTCCCCCGCCGTGATATTGCTGGAATATTGCTAAAAGCGGCGTAAAACAATACTCACTCACTCACTCACTATCACTATACAATGCGACGACATGGCTGTTTTATGCCAAAAAAGTACATTCTCAAATCCTGAATCGGTAACAGTAAAAGGCTTGGTAGAGGAAGCTTGAAGTTACGGATTTATTAACAGGTCCTTCCTTTCATGGAGTTCGCCCGGTAGGGTTAGAACCTTGAAGAAACATTTAATGGTAAATACTACATCTACATGTATGTTGTTCTTGTCGTCAGGGCGGGTGAGAAGTTCCGTGTGTATGTCATGATGCCCCTCCTGCCGGCCTTCGAGGGGGAGTTTGGGACACCAGGGGGCACTGCACTTCAGGCTGTCACTCACTGGAACTACTCGTCTATATGCAGGGGAGGCAACTCTCTCATAGAGAAACTCAGCAAAGAAGGTAGGAAAGTTGTCTGGCTGTATTAATATCTGGTATTATCAGAATTTGTTTCTTAAGTAGTTTTTATTCAACAGTTAAATAGTCATCAGACACATTTGATCATGTCATTGAAGTTACTTCTGGTCAGACTAGTGAAGCTGGATTTCTTCTTTTGTCTTCATATCAGTATGTGAGATACAAGGTGTTGTTTGTTTGTTTGTTGTTTAACGCCACACTCAGCAATATTCCAGCTATGTGACAGCGGTCTGTAAATAATCGAGTCCGAACCAGACAGTCCAGTGATTGATATCATGAGCATCGATCCCGCATTTGGGATACGATGACATGCATCAACCAAGGCAGCAAGCCTGACCACCCGATCCTGTTAGTTGCCTCTTACTATATTCATGGGTCACTGAAGTTCTATTCAAACCCCATTCTTCCTGGGTCACAAGGGGTAACATCACGTTCAAAATTAATGCACTCATGTCGTGTGTGTGTGTGGCTGCTTGTGTTAATGCTGGGAATATAGTGCCCACTGAGATACCATGCCACAGTTTAACATGGATACCTCACCCTAGGGCTGGGACAAATCCAAGATTACTTCCCGGGTACCCACCCCCTTATTACCTGACCATACCCGGGTACTCACTGTAAGCCTCAAGGTGTAGGTACAAAATGTCTGATTGGGATTTTTTTTACCATAGCCCTGGCAAAACGTATTTAGATTCACGTATTTAACAATCTGGTCATGCATCACTGAAGTTGACTTAAGTTATATCTTTATTCAACCATATGAAAAGTCAGAAAGAATAGGTGCATAATTTTTGTCATTAAACAGTATATCACGTGACTAACCACGGGTCCGGATAGTCCTGTGGGTACCCGGGTCCTACTCAGTACCCACCCAACCCGTGTACCTGAGTTACCCGTCCGAGCCTTACCGCACTCAGACACAGTATACTAACTCGAAGCCAATGACTCCTTGTTTCATCCCCTTAATTAGGGCTACATGTGTAATATAGAATGTTCAGCTGGCGTTCCTGTTGCAGTGCCAGACCCTATGCAGTACATCATCTTCAACGGGCTGAGGACTCACGACGAACTGAATGGTAAACCTGTAAGTATGCATGTTCTGACTGTTGTAACATCCAACGATATGCAGCTGTCTGGTACTTCAAGTTACTGGTGGAAGTCTTGCAATGTGGTCATGCATACTGTTTAGATTCACCTTTGTGTCCGGAGAGAAGGAAGGGCGGGTGATTCCTGTTCTGTCTTATAATGAGGGTGCTGTCTTGCTTTTGGCACGCTGGATGCCGAGCCCTGTAAGTGGTATTCCTGATGCCAGAGTTCTGTACACTGGGTGCAGTGATTGTCTGGTACTCGGATTCCAATAGTTCAAAACAGAGAGGATTTGGACCCTCTATAATTCATACAGTTGTCTTTGAACAAATGCTGATCGAGCTCTCTTGCACAAAACAATCACAGATCTATAACTATCGTAACTCATACTTTGTCGACCTGTGACGAATATTGAAGAGTGAAGGGTTAAGGCCAGGCGTTTTATATTTTTGGATTACGGACCCGCCAACTCTAATTTTTGAGAAAATGTAAAAAAAATATATCAGATTTCCATATATTTTTTTCCCCACCGATAGCCGCGTAATCAGTTATTTTATTTGTTATCATCACCTTTTAATAAAAAAACATGAATTTACCGTTGTAAACTAGTAAAGAGATACATAATCGATCTTTGTTGATCCCGAAGCCGAACATAAATAGCCTCACTTGACACTTGTTCAGGTTGTAAGTGGTAGAATTTTTATTGTTACAAGGGGCTTTATCGTCACAAATAGCAGTCTTTTGAACACAGAATATGTTCATAAAGTATGCCAGAGGCATTCTGCATTAAATAAAAATGCATCTGGCTTTTTCTCTTTTAATTTACCCTCCTCCAACCCTGGACTTTGGGCTGAAAAATCCGTAATCCTAAAAATAAAAAAAGCCTGGCCTAAACAACAAACCAACATACTCTTTGTCATTGACAATAGCCTAGTGCTATAGCTGCTTCGTGAAGTTTGGGCCGGCCTTCTTGTGGATTCCAAAGTTTACACTCCTTGCTATCAACATACTTATGGATCTTTTGGAAGTATTTACACTTTCTGTGGACATGTTGTTTGTTTGTTGTTTAATGCCGCACTCGGCAATATTCAAGCTATATGATGGCAGTCTGTAAATAATCGAGTCTGGACCAGACAATCTGGTGACTGATATCATGGACATCGATCCACACAATTGGGATATGATGACTTGCATCAACCAAGTCAGCGAGCCTGACAACCAGATCCCGTTAGTAACCTCTTACGACAAGCATAGTCAGCTCTTACGACAAGCATGGGTTGCTGAAAACCTATTCTACCCCCCCCCCCCAGATCTTCACAGGTTAAATTACTGGGGATTATTGCAGTGTCATAACTGTTGGGAAGTGTTGGTGCTATGTGACATGGTCTGGTCAGTAGGATGTTCAGGAGATGGTAGGTACTATATTTTCTTGGGTATAGTGCGCACTTTTTTTCCAAAAATTACAGCTGTGTAGAAGGGGGTGCGCATTTTACACGCCATAATGAGTTTTGATGGTTTTTTTCCCCCCAAAGCAAAGACATTACTGTGAGCACATAGCACCGGACATACTATGTCCACAAATCCATACTGAATTATGCAAATTAATCATGTCATAACACTGTCTGGCTATAAAAAGTGTTCATTGTATATCTGGACTTAAGCAGCTCTCACACTTTGCCGAGGTGGTTGCTGAGGTCTCCCGAGGTCCCCCGAGCCTAACTTGGCTTGCTACGAGTATCCTACGAGTGTGTTACCAGCCCCATAGGAATCAAACAGGAGTCAAACCGGAGTCCAATGAGTCCAATAGGAGTCTATTAAGAGTTGCATATGAGCACAACGATCTCAATACGAGCTTTATGAGTTTGGTACGACTTTGGTACGAGATGGCACACTCGTATAGATCATATTAGACTCGGTCAACTCGGCAATAAATTTGCAGACGATGCTCATACGAGTTCTGTACGAGCATCACGAGGTCGCCACAAGGGTACTGGTAGGACAAGTGTGTTACGTGTTTGTTATGAGTTGCTTAGGAGTTGGCTGGCGGCCCGACTGTTTTGAGCAGTTCCAAAACTCTCGAAGATCAGTATGAGGTATCCCGAGTTACCCCGAGTTTAGTACGACCTCACTACGAGCTCCATAAGAGTACCCCCGAGTCAGCTCGGGTCCACACTTGGGACGCAACTCGGCAAAGTGTGAGAGATCCTTTATGTTTGTAACTTATTTCATAAATTTTATTCAAACTTCCTTTTAATATTGTTTCAATTAATTTCGGCGATATTGTATGTGATGCAATCAGAAGATCGCACAACTCACCGTGATTAACAGCAACCACGGTTAGATTACCGCTACTAACGCCTTGAAACAAACTTTAGTTGACAGAGAATGGATACATATAACATAAATGCCATACTTTGACTCATAAAAAGTCATATTTGTTACAGTTTGACAATTCTATGTCAACACATAGTTCTCGCGATCACCTTTGCGGGAGCCTCGACGGTGAATGGTCAAATTGTTCCATGTGAAAACAAATATCCGGCAATATCGATCAGCTGCTACGCTTGGGGTTACTATTATTTTTAAATATATTCAGTAAAAGCTGCAACTAAAATAACAAGATATTGGAATATATTATTCCTGATAAGAAAATAGTTTCAGAAACAATTTTTGCCGATCCTTGCATTAGAATCCTGTAAAGTTATATCATTGGGTGTGTCTTGACCGAATCACCGGTAGATTCCAAGAAAACATGTGTACAGCTGATCTTAATCTTAATCCCCGGATGTAAAAAATGCCTAGCAGAACAAGAAATATAATTTAAACGGTAAATCAACATGTCTGGTGATTTTTTATCTCAAATTTCAAATTTGTACTGACAAAGCTTCTTATCACCCATTCATTTACCAGAATTCGCTGGAGGGATACCCGGTAGATCTTCTGTGTAATTTTTCTGCTCATAATATTCACAAAAATATTTTTTTAAATACTGAATCCGCTAGAGGGGGTGAGCATTATACTTGGGTACACACTATACTCAAGAAAATATGGTACACGTATGTGTATATTGTTTCCCCTTCTTTCAGATCACTGAGCTCGTGTACGTGCACAGCAAGCTGATGATTGTTGATGACGACACAGTCATTATCGGTTCAGCCAACATCAACGACCGAAGCATGCTGGGAAAGAGGGACAGCGAGATGGCAATGATGGTGGAGGACCTTCCCAAAAACAAGTTTGAGATCTCATTCGGGGACCGGAAGCACATGGCTGGCAAGTTTGCCTCATCCCTAAGAAGAACCCTGTTCAAGTAAGTTACAACTTCTTTATTCAAATCTTTGAAGGTGTCTGGTCGAAAACTTTGTTATGCATGGAGGAAGTTTCTTCACTACATTATTTTGTAAAAAATATGTTACTCAAATTTAGATAGGGATGATCAGAATTGTAGTTCTATTCACTTGACACATTATGAGAATCAGTTTTGTGTTTCATGGAAAGATAAAAATATCCCCATCAAAAGTTGAGTGGTATTTTAGTGTTGGGCATGTAATAAAATCCTACTTTTGGGATTGCACATGGCCATATCGTGAGCTTGTTTGCGTCATGTTTAGCCTTCCATGTATTCTAGATGTGTCCAGAGATTTGAAAATTATATTCATATTGTTGCATATGTTTCCCAGTTATAATAGCAAGAGCCATTTGCTCTAGCTTCTATGTACTGCTGGTTTGTGGGGGCAGCATGGGTGTCTAAGGCTATGTCAATCACTGTGCAGGGTTGCGTCCCTTGGGCATGCCAGTATCCTGTGATCGTTGGTTTGAACCCCCCAGCACTGATTATGTTTCTAGGTTTGTCAGCACTATTTTCATGCTCAGTGGTTTCACCAGAAGATCAGAGTCCTGTGATTGTTGAAACATCTTCTTACGGTTATTCCTCAGCCATTTTTGTACAAAATTATTCTCTACATATTCAAGTGAACTACTGTGTTGTGGCACTATTTTCCATTGACCCATTTGACCTGTCCCCTTGGCAGGAAGAGCTGCCGAATGCTACCTGTTGATTAAGACCTTACAAAGATGAATAGCATGTTGTTTCAATGTTACCTTCTCGATTGTGTGTTACTTGACAACAATGTACGTTCACTGCAAAAAGAATCGCGAACAAACATTTGGTGAAATATGTAGGTTAAGAAGAGATTTTTCCAATGTGTACCACTTGATGACTTGATGCATCTTAAGTCATGGATCTAACACATAACATGTGATGTGTTCATGAGCATCCATTCACACAACATAACAGTATATTTGTTTGTGCATCAAACCAATCTAATATCTCTTGAATATGAGTAATTCTTCATATATTTATATATGGTATTTGTGTCTTTTGTCGGTGAGTATATACCCGCTCAGTTGCCTAGTTCAGACTGAATCATATATAGACACTTACTCCCTGCACCGGGATCCATCTCTTGTGTAAGTAAGTGTCCCAGTGTAGTGTCTCCTGTACCATGTCCGGCACTGTTTATTCCATGGCAAGTAGGGAAATACAAGCTATTATTACTGATACTCCTTATCCAACATACCAGCGTGGAACCATACCAGTAACTAGGAGCACTTTGTATCTCGCAGTGAGCACCTGGGCCTGGGAGACATGGGTTATGAGGTGGACGACATCGTGTCCGACTCGTTCTACAAGGGAGAGTGGATCAAGAGAGCCAGCATCAACACTACCATGTATGACAAGGTGGGTTCACTGTTGTCTGATGTGTGACAAGGTGGGTTCACTGTTGACGGATGTGTGACAAGGTGGGTTCACTGTTGTCTGATGTGTGACAAGGTGGGTTCACTGTTGTCTGATGTGTGACAAGGTGGGTTCACTGTTGTCTGATGTGTGACAAGGTGGGTTCACTGTTGTCTGATGTGTGACAAGGTGGGTTCACTGTTGTCTGATGTGTGACAAGGTGGGTTCACTGTTGTCTGATATGTGACAAGGTGGGTTCACTGTTAACTGATGTGTGACAAGGTGTGTTCACTGTTGTCTGATGTGTGACAAGGTGGGTTCACTGTTGTCTGATGTGTGACAAGGTGGGTTCACTGTTGTCTGATGTGTGACAAGGTGTGTTCACTGTTGATGGATGTGTGACAAGGTGGGTTCACTGTTGACAGATGTGTGACAAGGTGTGTTCACTGTTGTCTGATGTGTGACAAGGTGTGTTCACTGTTGACAGATGTGACCAGGGTGGGTTCACTGTTGTCTGATGTGTGACAAGGTGTGTTCACTGTTGTCTGATGTGTGACAAGGTGTGTTCACTGTTGACAGATGTGACCAGGGTGGGTTCACTGTTGTCTGATGTGTGACAAGGTGTGTTCACTGTTGTCTGATGTGAGACAAGGTGGGTTCACTGTTGTCTGATGTGTGACAAGGTGGGTTCACTGTTGACGGATGTGTGACAAGGTGGGTTCACTGTTGATGGATGTGTCCAGGGTGGGTTCACTGTTGTCTGATGTGTGACAAGGTGTGTTCACTGTTGTCTGATGTGTGACAAGGTGGGTTCACAGTTGACTGATGTGTGACAAGGTGTGTTCACTGTTGTCTGATGTGTGACAAGGTGGGTTCACTGTTTGATGTGTGACAAGGTGGGTTCACAGTTGACTGATGTGTGACAAGGTGGGTTCACTGTTGACGGATGTGTGACAAGGTGTGTTTACTGTTGACGGATGTGTGACAAGGTGTGTTCACTGTTGACGGATGTGTGACAAAGTTGGTTCACTGTTGACAGATGTGTGACAAGGTGGGTTCACTATTGATGGATCTGTGATAGGGTGGGTTCACTGTTGACGGATGTGTGACAAGGTGTGTTCACTGTTGTCTGATGTGTGACAAGGTGTGTTCACTGTTGACAGATGTGACCAGGGTGGGTTCACTGTTGTCTGATGTGTGACAAGGTGTGTTCACTGTTGTCTGATGTGTGACAAGGTGTGTTCACTGTTGACAGATGTGACCAGGGTGGGTTCACTGTTGTCTGATGTGTGACAAGGTGTGTTCACTGTTGTCTGATGTGTGACAAGGTGGGTTCACTGTTGTCTGATGTGTGACAAGGTGGGTTCACTGTTGACGGATGTGTGACAAGGTGGGTTCACTGTTAACTGATGTGTGACAAGGTGTGTTCACTGTTGTCTGATGTGTGACAAGGTGGGTTCACTGTTGTCTGATGTGTGACAAGGTGGGTTCACTGTTGTCTGATGTGTGACAAGGTGGGTTCACTGTTGTCTGATGTGTGACAAGGTGTGTTCACTGTTGATGGATGTGTGACAAGGTGGGTTCACTGTTGACAGATGTGTGACAAGGTGTGTTCACTGTTGTCTGATGTGTGACAAGGTGTGTTCACTGTTGACAGATGTGACCAGGGTGGGTTCACTGTTGTCTGATGTGTGACAAGGTGTGTTCACTGTTGTCTGATGTGTGACAAGGTGGGTTCACTGTTGTCTGATGTGTGACAAGGTGGGTTCACTGTTGACTGATGTGTGACAAGGTGTGTTCACTGTTGACGGATGTGTCCAGGGTGGGTTCACTGTTGTCTGATGTGTGACAAGGTGTGTTCACTGTTGTCTGATGTGTGACAAGGTGGGTTCACTGTTGTCTGATGTGTGACAAGGTGGGTTCACTGTTGACTGATGTGTGACAAGGTGTGTTCACTGTTGATGGATGTGTCCAGGGTGGGTTCACTGTTGTCTGATGTGTGACAAGGTGTGTTCACTGTTGTCTGATGTGTGACAAGGTGGGTTCACAGTTGACTGATGTGTGACAAGGTGTGTTCACTGTTGTCTGATGTGTGACAAGGTGGGTTCACTGTTTGATGTGTGACAAGGTGGGTTCACAGTTGACTGATGTGTGACAAGGTGTGTTCACTGTTGACGGATGTGTGACAAGGTGTGTTTACTGTTGACGGATGTGTGACAAGGTGTGTTCACTGTTGACGGATGTGTGACAAGGTTGGTTCACTGTTGACAGATGTGTGACAAGGTGGGTTCACTATTGATGGATCTGTGATAGGGTGGGTTCACTGTTGACGGATGTGTGACAAGGTGGGTTCACTGTTAACTGATGTGTGACAGGGTGTGTTCACTGTTGACGGATGTGTGACAAGGTGTGTTCACTGTTGATGGATGTGTGACAGGTCGGGTTCACTGTTGACGGATGTGTGACAAGGTGTGTTCACTGTTGATGGATGTGTGACAGGTCGGGTTCACTGTTGACGGATGTGTGACAAGGTGTGTTCACTGTTGATGGATGTGTGACAGGTCGGGTTCACTGTTGACGGATGTGTGACAAGGTGTGTTCACTGTTGATGGATGTGTGACAGGGTGTGTTCACTGTTGACGGATGTGTGACAAGGTGTGTTCACTGTTGATGGATGTGTGACAGGTCGGGTTCACTGTTGACGGATGTGTGACAAGGTGTGTTTACTGTTGACGGATGTGTGACAAGGTGTGTTCACTGTTGACGGATGTGTGACAAGGTTGGTTCACTGTTGACAGATGTGTGACAAGGTGGGTTCACTATTGATGGATCTGTGATAGGGTGGGTTCACTGTTGACGGATGTGTGACAAGGTGGGTTCACTGTTAACTGATGTGTGACAGGGTGTGTTCACTGTTGACGGATGTGTGACAAGGCGTGTTCACTGTTGATGGATGTGTGACAGGTCGGGTTCACTGTTGACGGATGTGTGACAAGGTGTGTTCACTGTTGATGGATGTGTGACAGGTCGGGTTCACTGTTGACGGATGTGTGACAAGGTGTGTTCACTGTTGATGGATGTGTGACAGGTCGGGTTCACTGTTGACGGATGTGTGACAAGGTGTGTTCACTGTTGATGGATGTGTGACAGGGTGTGTTCGCTGTTGACGGATGTGTGACAAGGTGTGTTCACTGTTGATGGATGTGTGACAGGTCGGGTTCACTGTTGACGGATGTGTGACAAGGTGTTCTTACTGTTGAGCAAATAGGTGTCACCACTTCTCAAAATGTGTAAAATAAACTCCAAGGTGTACATGATTGAACGCCAGCACCCACCTTCTGTTTCAGGTGTTCAACTGCATTCCCTGTGACAGTGTCCACAGTTTCACAGACCTCAAGAAGTTCCAGTCTGAGAAGACTCTTGTAGAAACCAACCAATCAGAAGCTGAGGAAATGCTACAGAAGGTCAAAGGCTATGTGGTTCTCATGCCACTGAACTTTCTGAAAAATGAAAACCTTGCGCCAAAAGTGGGAACAAAGGAAGCCATTTTGCCTTCTTACCTGTGGACATGATGTTGGAGACAGTGGGATACATGATGAAGCAAATACAGTGGTCATTGCCATTTGCTTTGTGACATAAGCTGCTCCAGACTGAGGGTGTGCTTGGTGGGTCAGTGGGGACAGTGTCAGCTCGGCCAGGTTTGTTTCCCGCATGGTTGTGGAAGCTGGTTGTCCTGCCCTTCAGCTGCATGGGATCTCACTGTTTATCCAGAATGAAGACACTTGAAAAGACAAGAGGTGGTCACCCACCTGGGTAGATCCGACAGTCTGGGTTAGGGCCCGATATGGATACAAGTTGTGGATCCTCCTGAAGACAACAATACATAGCGTTCTGGTATTTGCTGGCAAAAACCATGTCCTGTTAATGTTGATAGCTTGTCATTAGCCACAGCTTGATAATGGATGTGGTTGCAAACTAATATTAGCTTTAGTTAGCATAATAGTTCTGTGAAGATAATTTTAGTTTAGATGACTTAATGAAATGTTTATAGTCATAGTCCTCCACATACTGGTCAGGGATTTTATTGGTGAGAGTGCTTCACCTAGTTTGCACAACTCAATCTTGATTTTATGTAAAAGACTTTTATTTTTAGCGTTCTATTCATCAGAGGGATCTTATTTTGTTTCCTTTTTAATTTTTTGGCTATGAGTTTCAGTATATATTGATCATGTGAGAATAGCTTTGCTCACTTCCGCCACATGGCCTTCAAGGGATGTGAGGGACTAGTGCCAAAGTAGAAATGACTTGTATATCCATTCTTGTCAGAGCATGTCTCATTGTGTCTAACATGCTCATTAGCTACTTATAATTAGCTTGTTCCCATACAAACCTCACTCTGTGGATTGTAGCAGTTGGGGAAACATTCTATACATTATTGCATGTCACATTTTGTGTGTTCGTAGTTCTGACAACTTTGGTGGAAATGAAACTCTCTGGTTGAATGAATTCATTATCATCCAGCTGGTGTATAACTGTCTTTCCATGCAGCATGTTGTTGCATGCTGTTCGTGCAGTCTACAATCAGGATTTGACAGTCTAGACATAATCTGGAGCAAGACTCCGGTTCCATGTAGTTTACTTCTCAGATAAGACAGACTTTAAGTGCAGTCTACAAAAAGGATTAGACAGTCAAGACATAATCTGGGGCAAGACTCCGGTCTCATGTAGTTTACTTCTCAGATAAGACAGACTTTAAGTGCAGTCTACAACTGGGGTTAGACAGTCAAGACATAATCTGGGGCAAGACTCCAGTTCCATGTAGTTTACTTCTCAGATAAGACAGACTTTAAGTGCAGTCTACAAAAAGGATTAGACAGTCAAGACATAATCTGGGGCAAGACTCCGGTTCCATGTCGTTTACTACTCAGATCAGACAGACTTTAAGTGCAGTCTACAACTGGGGTTAGACAGTCAAGACATAATCTGGGGCAAGACTCCGGTCTCATGTAGTTTACTACTCAGATCAGACAGACTTTAAGTGCAGTCTACAACTGGGGTTAGACAGTCAAGACATAATCTGGGGCAAGACTCCGGTCTCATGTAGTTTACTACTCAGATCAGACAGACTTTAAGTGCAGTCTACAACTGGGGTTAGACAGTCTAGACATAATCTGGGGCAAGACTCCGGTCTCATGTAGTTTACTACTCAGATCAGACAAACTTTAAGTGCAGTCTACAACCGGGGTTAGACAGTCAAGACATAATCTACATCAAGACTCCGGTTTAGTGTAGTTTTCTACTCAGATAAGACAGACCTTATATTAAGTGCAATCTGCAACAAGGCTCAGACCAATTTTAAGTGTACTCTGCAACAAGACCAGGAGAGAGTATAAGTGTAGACTGCTACTTAGCTAAGACAGACTTTAAGTACCTTCTACAGTGTGACTATGTTTCCATGCAGTATTGATTCTGTGACAATGGAAGCCAGATTGTTTCAGTGGAACACACAAAAAGCAGATACTGTAATATTATTTCTCTGAAATGTTGCTCAAATTTGTTAAATGATGAAATCACTGCATGAATGATAAAATCAGTATTGATTGTTCAACACAACTGACAGTATCGATTTATGTTGTGTTTGCTCTGTATGGATAATGTTGGTATATATCTCTTTTTTAAATATCTATTTTTCTGATACTTCGTACTCAGTCTTCCATGTTGATGACATCTGTCTGTTCTGTTTGTCCACTCAAAGACGTATATTTACATCTATATGCGTCTTTGGTCCACTCTACCTACAGAAGCTACGTTCTTGGGGCATTTTTTTTTCTTGAATAAATTTTTGGTGTGTTAGTGAGGATGCTGACTATTCTTATGGATATGATGGGTGTTGATATTTTTCATGTTTTAGAGAAAGTAATTTTTAACCAATCAAATTTTAGTCATTGTTTTTACAAAAACAAGGTGCCATCATTATTGTTGTTGGTGTGGATTCATGGTTAATTGTAAGTCAATGGCCTGAAGGAACAGAATTTTGGAAGATAAAATTATGTTTCAATTTGTGTCGTTAATCAAGTGGAATTTGTTTTTATCTTTCATTCATTTTTTATTTTGTAGGGCAAGCTTTTCCATAAAACATGACACAGTTGGTGTGGATGTATATGTTTTTAGAAGAATAGTGTGATGTCATGTTTATAGCATGTGCTTTTGTAGAGCTAACTTAGGGGGCAGTTGTTACATTGGGCACACTGGGAACAAGTGCATGGACATCGCTGTCCTGGGCAGCTGTTGAGGATGTCGTCATACCTTCATCCAGTGAAAGTGGCTCACCAACCCAACCTTCCATTAGTGGAATACTATTGTACAAAATTTGAGATTTTGAAATTGTCTGTTTTGATCTCTGTTGAGTATGTTGTAGCTCTGTGTGTCACAATTTTAGAACCATCCATTACAAAAGTTCAAATTAGGGCTATAGGATAAGGGAAGTAACTCTATCGCTTGTCATTGAAAATATACCAACAGGTGTTGTATTTTATACTCATTGAGGTAAGGTGTTGTTGTAGGCAGTTGGCTGGACAATGGATCTCACAATCTCCTTTTATTGCTTTACCTCTTTGGGGAGTTTTGGTTCTTGTTTCTCTTCATGACCTTTCAACGCTGCATGTTTATGATCTATGTGTAGCAGGACGTGGAGTCATCCCACAGATGACATCCTTACCTTCTCAGCTGACGGGGTTAACCTCTTTGGTCATGTGGACAAGGCGTCCGACCTCCGATCAGAAGGTCCGTGGTTCGAATCCCATCACAGGACTCGGAAATTTTATGGCCGCTACATATGGAATGGAAACCTACTGTTGTTAAAATTGTTGCATATTGAACTAGGCTAGAATGTTATATAGAATCTGTAAGCTAAGGTAGCTTCCTCAAACACAACATGTCTATCCTGAAGTGTACATTGATACACTGATGAGACTGCTGAAATGCTAGATGGTATATGTGTTTCATCCTGAAGTGTATAATGACACACTGATAAGATTGCTGAAATGCTAGATGGTACATGTGTTTCATCCTGAAGTGTATAATGATACTCGGATGAGATTGCTGAAACACCAGATGGTATATGTTTTTATCCTGAGGTGTCCATACACTGATAAGATTGCTGAAACGCCAGATGGTTTATTGTAATCCTGTCGTGTCCAGTGGTGCACGGATGACACTGCTGAAATGCTAGATGGTACACGTTTATGCTTAAGTGTCCATACACTGATGGCTTGTTAAAATTGTGTCTTTAGATCTGTTCCACATGTTGAGGCTGTCTCTTTTATGGCATTTTATGCATCATTTTGATACAACAGATCACTTCTTCAGTCTTTCGCACTCAGTGTCAAAGTAAGCTCTTCATAGACCAGTTTAATGAGACTAAAAAAATAGTCTTGGTTCTCAGGCACCGCCCACATCATCATAAAGTTTGCCCCACGTTTCGTTTTTATTTCCATTTTTAAAAACAAATTTAAAAAATCCTCAAATATTCCAAGTCCAACGGTAGTCAAATACTGTATTACAGTATTTTACTCATCAAGGAATACATTTATGTAGGGGGGCCCTTTGCCAGGTTGATTGTAGACAATTGTTTATTGATTACACAACTGTTTATTGGTTACATACTAGTTCGAACAACAACAACAAAAAACGCCTGCCCACACTATATTTTCAAAAAAACATTGCCTGAGAACCAATTCTTTTATTTTTTTAAACCTGAAGTTATGTTATTTGTGTCTGTGTGATATCATAAGTCCATGGCTGTCATGAGTGTAGGTGCTGCACAGATCAGACATAGATGTCGGGTGTACAGATCCAGTAGAACACCACCTACTGTTTCAGTGAAAAGTTTTCAGACATTGTCTTGTGAGGCTCCATTTGCAGGCTTCTTCATACTTCATACTTCATGCTTCATCGTAACACATTAAGCATATATGGGTCATAAGTCATACATTCCTTTTTATTTACTTTTTTATATTCTTCTTTCTTTTCATGTATCAAAAGTTGAGAAACATTTAATTAAGATGTGAAATTATTGTTTCCGTATTCTCATAAACACAAATGTTTCTAGAATGTTTTGAGAGAAATAGCAGCATAAGTATGATACATACTACTCAAAAGAAGATAAGGAATGCCCAATTTGGTCATGTTACAATAGTTAATCTGTTATGCCAATAATATGAAAGAATCAGATTAATTATAGTAATATGAAAGAATCAGATTAATTATAGTAACGTGAAAGAATCAGATTAATTATGTTAACATGAAAGAATCAGATTAATTATAGTAATATGGAAGAATCAGATTAATTATAGTAATATGAAAGAATCAGATTAATTATTTTGATATGAAAGAATCTGATTAATTATAGTAATATGGAAGAATCAGATTAATTATAGTAACATGAAAGAATCAGATTAATTATGTTAACATGAAAGAATCAGATTAATTATGTTGATACGAAAGAATCTGATTAATTATAGTAATATGGAAGAATCAGATTAGTTATAGTAATATGAGAGAATCAGATTATGTTAATATGAAAGAATCAGATTAATTATAGTAATATGAAAGAATCTGATTAATTATAGTAATATGGAAGAATCAGATTAGTTATAGTAATATGAAAGAATCAGATTATGTTAATATGAAAGAATCAGATTAGTTATAGTAATATGAAAGAATCAGATTAATTATAGTAATATGAAAGAATCAGAGATTTCTAACTCTTTTTTAGTAGTATTTGTCACATGGTATTTTGAACTGTTTTCATGGTCAGCATGGAGATTTGTCGTACTGTTTAGTTCCACTCCATGCCGTGTTTGTGTAAACCTTGTGAATAGCTACATTCTAAATCAATTCATATTGACCATGACAAGTATTTTCACTGTGTTCGTGTCAACTGTTATCAATCTTGATCTCAGCATGTACATATTCAGTTACAAATCAAGTCTTCATGGTCCTTTTGTCCAGTGAGTGAGTGAGTGAGTGAGTCAGGTTTAACACCGCTGTGAACAGTGTTTCAGTCAAATCACAGCGGGTCAGCTTGATGTGGGAGGAAAGCCTAAAGGGATGTAGGACAAGTGCCTACTATGTTTCGTTTGATGACATTCAGCTTCGTTGTGTTTATCTGTAAGCCAAAATTATTCAGCCAGTGTCTCCTAAGTAATGTTTGGACAATGGTCAAACAAGGAAGAATATTTGATACAATTGTGAATTAAATCAATACTGCATGTCATGAATGAATTGTTAATTACCCTATGTTACTCATAGTATCAATCACTGGTTTGTCTGGCTCAGACTTGATCATGTACATGCTGTTGTTGTGTGGCTGAATTACTGCTGACTTGGCATTAAAAAACAAACTGAAATGATTTACTATGTAATCTGAGCCAATTTGAATTAAGGATGTTACACATGTTGAGCCTGTTTTTTCTTTCTCTGATGGAACCACCATCCTGACATTGTCTAGTTGATCATGAACACAATCAGATAAATGGCCAACAACTGGTATCTTATGCTTGGTTGCAAATGTATGTAATGTGTTTTGTAGATGTGTTTGTTGGAAGTGTAAGATTGCTGACTCAGGATATATGAAGGATCTAACTGAACCATAGTAGGCACACTTTCACACTACAATGCAGCCCTGTTCATCCATTACCTACTCAGAGGGCACCCTTCCACAACATCGACAGTAGGCTCCCTTCCACAACATCGACAGTAGGCACCCTTCCACAACGTCGACAGTAGACACCCTTCCACAACATCGACAGTAGGCACCCTTCCACAACATCGATGGTAGACACACTCCAACAACATCGACAGTAGGCACCCTTCCACAACATCAATGGTAGACACACTCCAACAACATCGACAGTAGGCACCCTTCCACAACATCAATGGTAGACACACTCCAACAATATCGATACTAGGCACCCTTCCACAACATTGACAGTAGGCACCCTTCCACAACATTGACAGTAGGCAACCTTCCACAACATTGACAGTAGGCACCCTTCCACAACATTGACACTAGGCACCCTTCCACAACATCGACAGTAGGCACCCTTCCACAACATTGACAGTAGGCATCCTTCCACAACATCGACAGTAGGCTCCCTTCCACAACATTGACACTAGGCACCCTTCCACAACATTGAATGTAGGCACCCTTCCACAGCATTGCCAGTAGGCACCCTTCCACAACATTGACAGTAGGCATCCTTCCACAACACTGACAGTAGGCACCCTTCCAACACATCGACAGTAGGCACCCTTCCACAACATCGACAGTAGGCACACCTCCATCAAGATCCCATACTTAACCCAGGGCTCCAGATTGCGCACAAGTTGTCATTTACAATGGATAATTTTCTTTGGTCATTCAATGTATTTTTACTCCCTTGGGCCAGTCTATTGGGTATTTTACACCAATGAGTAGATTTTTCATTTGATTAATTATGCTTTAATGTTTTTTCAGGCGACTTCTAACATGTATCTGTCTGTGCGCAGGTGCAAGTGTGTGACATGCCGAACACACAACAACAATGTATATGTCTCATTGACAATAAGCGAGACATACGCCTTGTTTATGCATTATGTTTTATGTAGAGTTTATGTATGTGGGATGCCTACACTAGTGAGTAAATAAATATCTGTGAAGAAATACATGCACATAAGTTGAAAAGGATACTTCCGGTAATTACACAGATGTGGTACTGTCAGGATTTGAAAGATTTCATGCCTTGTAAACAAACAACTTAAAATTAACTGGGTTATGGTGATTTATTTTACATAACTTATGTAAATGAGGCTTATCTGGAGCTCTGTAAACCACTTCCATTTTAGCAGATATCATGTTGAGTTGTTACAAGTTACATGTAACCTTGTGGTGTATGTTATTTATTACCTGCATGCTGTTCACATTCCTAATCTTGAATCTGTGCTTAGTCATAATGAAAGCTGTGATGTAGGAATTCTTCTTGTCCTTCTTTGGGGCATTGTTATCTGCGCTTGTCATTCTCCCCAATCTGGGGGGTCAGGTAGACTTTGATACTCATTCAGTTTGTAATCATTTGATTTGCATCAGTAATATTACTACCCAAATTCTTCCTTCTCATAGACTAAATCCCTAAGCATTATTAACAATATTACAAAACGAACTTATATTATTAGTAAGTAATTAATAATGCTGTTTCATCAACCCATGTTACACCTAGTTTTCATACCTGATGCCATATTCGGTAAGAGCAGTCGGCACCACTGGAATACCTCCAAGAATTCTTCCTTATTATGCTTTTTATTGTTTTAAGAGTAAAATTGTAATGGTAAAATGGTGAGGTCACATGCTTTTACTGTCCGTTGTAACCTGTGTTCTAAAAGTCGTTGGACACTGAATGTTTCATAGTGAGGGCTTAGTCTTAAGATGCCGTACAAAACCGATGTTGAGAGTGATGTTTTCAACGCTGTGTAATGTGAAATACATTTGAAAAACCCTTGTTGGCTTTCATTTTGGGTATTAAGTGTATATTTTTGCCCATAGATTATATTTTTATGAAAATGCATAATCCAGGTTATTATTGAAATAAAATCTATGCAGTTCTACCTTGTTTTGTTAATTGTTCCTTGAGTTGTAAAGTACTACAGTATCAAGCCAAGACTTATTTCAGATTGCCAATAGCATGACACAAATTAACAAAGGTGAAAAATGTCAAGGTTTTGAAACAAACAGTGTCATATTTCAACTTAAGAAGGTTGCAACCACAATCAGAATCAAACATACCATGCATCAACAAATAGCTGAGAATCAGAGGTTGAGAATAAAACTGACCACTTTATATTAACACCATCTTTTTGTATGGCAGTGAATTTCTCAGGAGCATATCTATTTTCAGTTTGATTCTTTGATTCCATATACATGAGGGGGCACGGATGGCCCAGTCGTCTAAGGCGCCGCGATTCGCTGTGCAGAGTTGCGTCCCTTGGGCACGCCAGAAACCTATTATAGTGGGTTCGAATCCCGGTTCGCCCAGATTATGTTTCTAGGTTTGTCAGCACCATACCTGTGCTCGTGGGATTCACCGAAGTGGTAAACGTCTGAGACCTGCATCACTTCGGGCTTTCCTCCCACATTAAGCTGACACGCCGTGATATAACTGGAATACTGTTAAAAGCGGCGTTAAACCCAACTCACTCACTCACTCCCATATACATGAATATGCCTTTTTCCCAATAAAAGTATATGATTGATTAAAGTATTAAAATGGTTTGAACCAAACCAAATAAGATATTTTGTCAATTAAAGTTATTGTGAAAGATAGTTATTTAGCCGAAGTTCCAGATCATTACAATTTTTTTTTAAATTCATTATTTTCCCCAAAGACGACAGATGTGCTCATTGACAGTGTTACAAAAGCTACATACACTGTTGACTACAAGATTCATGGTAAACAGTTCCTTCTTTGTGTAGATAATTCTATGAAGAAATCTGTATTGACAATCTAAAAGTTTTACATCCTTAAGTTTATCTTATAGACAGTAAATGGGGTTTTTCAAATTAAATTCACAATAAAAACTGATTGCCATTTTTCACATAAGTATGTTTTTATGAATCACTATCAATAAGTGATGATTCCTGTGTTTGTGGAACAGTGAGCACATCTTGACAAGATACACCCTGTGTAGATTTTGGTTCAGTTTATGTGCTGTCATAGTCTGACGGCATAGAATGAATACAGATGTATCCATACACTACAGATGTATCCATTCACTACAGATGTATCCATTTACTACAGATGTATCAATACAGATGTATCACTACAGATGTATCAATTCACTACAGATGTATCAATACAGATGTATCAATACAGATGTATCAATACAGATGTATCCATTCACTATAGATGTATCAATACAGATGTATCACTACAAATGTATCCATTCACTACAGATGTATCACTACAGATGTATCCATTCACTACAGATGTATCAATACAGATGTATCACTACAGATGTATCTATTCACTACAGATGTATCCATTCACTACAGATGTATCAATACAGATGTATCACTACAGATGTATCCATTCACTACTGATGTATCCATTCACTACAGTTGTGTCTCTTCAGATGTATCCATTCACTACAGATGTATCACTACAGATGTATCCATTCAATACAGATGTATCACTACAGATTTATCCATTCAATACAGATGTATCAATACAAATGTATCAATACAGATGTATCACTACAGATGTATCCATTCACTACAGATGTATCAATACGGATGTATCACTACAGATGTATCCATTCACTACAGATGTATCCATTCACTACAGATGTATCCATTCACTACAGATGTATCAATACAGATGTATCACTACAGATGTATCCATTGACAACATATGTATCACCACAGATGTATCCATTCACTAGATGTATCAATACAGATGTATCACTACAGATGTATCCATTCACTACAGATGTATCCTTGCAGCTTCATTCCTCGAGTAAAATGTATCCATGAATGGATATTTTCGTGTATCCCCCAATGTGATGAATGAGAAGCTTCAGAGCCTGTACTACCTGTACGCTGGTCCGAATAACTAGAACGCAGCACAGCATGTTTGTCAGACTTTATTACTGGTCACTGAGTCAAGAACAATACAACAAGTTAAGCATTAAATTATCACAGCAGGACAGATATGCACATTCATTTTACATGATTGTCTTTTTGACAGGTTTGTGTTTATAATTTGTCTTTTTTTTGTAAATATGTGTTTATCAATCGTAAAAAAAGTTGGATGAAAACGGATTTAAAAAACATTTTGCAAAAATTGATGACACTATAAACTGATATAAAAATAATCAATATATATTAAAGAATTAGGCGTATATGATAGTGGGGTTTCTTCAGTATCAGATGTATCACGTACACATATGAATGTAGTGTTTCCAGGGAGACTGACAGTGAATACTGGCATCCCGCAACTCACTCGCTGTATTAAAGGTGTGCAATCTCAGTGTTAGGACAGACTGAAGGCACTTCACATCAAGTTCTGGACGGTTTCAAGATAACAATAAATACAGCACTACCAGACAACCAACAAAATACATTCAAGGCCTTCCTTCTTACAATTCATACAAATATAACATACATTAAATATGTCAGGGTTTTCTTGCGCATCTTCAGTGGCCATTACACCCAGGATGACCCAGGATAATTCAAAATGACCCAGGATGATTCAGGATGACCCAGGATGACCCAGGATGACCCAGGATGATTCAGAATGACCCAGGATGACCCAGAATGACCCAGGATGACCCAGAATGTTTCAGAATGACCCAGAATGACCCAGAATGACCCAGGATGACCCATAATGACCCAGGATGATTCAGAATGACCCAGGATGACCCAGGTTTGACCCAGAATGTTTCAGAATGACCCAGGATAATTCAGAATGATCCAGAATGACCCAGGATGATTCAGAATGACCCAGAATGATTCAGATTGACCCAGGATGATTCAGAATGACCCAGGATGACCCAGGATGACCCAGAATGTTTCAGAATGACCCAGGATGATTCAGAATGACCCAGAATGACCCAGGATGACCCAGAATGACCCAGGATGATTCAGAATGACCCAGGATGACCCAGAATGACCCAGGATGATTCAGAATGACCCAGGGTGATTCAGAATGACCCAGGATGATTCAGAATGACCCAGGATGACCCAGGATGACCCAGAATGACCCAGGATGATTCAGAATGACCCAGGATGACCCAGGGTGACCTAGGATGATTCAGAATGACCCAGGATGACACAGGATGATTCAGAATGACCCAGGGTGACCCAGGTTGACTAAGGGTGACACTGAAGTGATGAATAGTTGTATAGTGCTTTGGTTTGGCCTGGTACACAAATACATATATCATTGAAATACAGAACCAAGGGGTCTGCAGCTAACTATCAATTCACTATTTCGCACATTAAGTTATGTCAACATGTCAAATTCTACCAATTTTGTAGACAAAAAGGCTAATAACTGGCTTACATAGCTTTTCATTAATTATAGCTATGGACACCATTTTGACATATCTACAAAGTCAAAGAAACACTATATGTCGTATTACCTTAGCGTTAAAGATAAATGACATACATGTTATAGTGTATTTGCAAAAGCCCAAAGCGTGTATATTAGTGAAGAATATCACTCTTCAAATATCAAATATCTTGATAAAAGAAAACATTTATTGTTTTCACATTTAATGTGGTGAATGTGGGATGTGGTGAATGAGGTGGCTGTAACGCGTTCTATGGAGAACGAGGTGGATGTTACGTGTACTGTTGTGAATGCGGTGGCTGTTACGTGTTCTATGGTGAATGCGGTGGCTGTTACGTGTTCTATGGTGAATGCGGTGGCTGTTACGTGTTCTATGGTGAATGAGGTGGCTGTTACGTGTACTGTTGTGAATGCGGTGGCTGTTACGTGTTCTGTGGTGAATGCGGTGGCTGTTACGTGTTCTATGGTGAATGCGGTGGCTGTTACGTGTTCTATGGTGAATGAGGTGGCTGTTACGTGTTCTGTGGTGAATGCGGTGGCTGTTACGTGTTCTGGGGTGAATGCGGTGGCTGTTACGTGTTCTGTGGTGAATGCGGTGGCTGTTACGTGTTCTGTGGTGAATGCGGTGGCTGTTACGTGTTCTGTGGTGAATGAGGTGTCTGTTACTTGTTCTATGGTAAATGCGATGGCTGTTACGTGTTCTATGGTGAATGCGGTGGCTGTTACGTGTTCTGTGGTGAATGAGGTGTCTGTTACTTGTTCTATGGTAAATGCGATGGCTGTTATGTGTTCTATGGTGAATGCGGTGGCTGTTACTTGTTCTATGGTGAATGCGGTGGCTGTTACTTGTTCTATGGTAAATGCGATGGCTGTTACGTGTTCTATGGTGAATGCGGTGGCTGTTACTTGTTCTATGGTAAATGCGATGGCTGTTACGTGTTCTATGGTGAATGCGGTGGCTGTTACTTGTTCTATGGTAAATGCGATGGAATGCGATGGCTGTTACGTGTTCTATGGTGAATGCGGTGGCTGTTACGTTTTCTGTGGTTAATGAGGTGGCTGTTACGTGTTCTATGGTGAATGCGATGGCTGTTACTTGTTCTATGGTGAATGCGGTGGTTGTTACTTGTTCTATGGTGAATGAGGTGGCTGTCACATCTACTGTGGCGACTTTGGTGCTGTCAGTTGACTATAGAGAATATGGTGGATGTCTCGACACTTGTTGGGTGGAGGGAAGGACACTCACTGTCGATAAGGAATTTTTCACATGTACTGTGAGGGTTGGGGCGGGGGCGGGTACTGTGGGGGCTCCTGGGGCGGGTATTGAGGAGCTGACTGGCCCATGTTCCCCACGGTGTTCATGTGTACAACAGTAGCGTTGACGGTCGGCTGCATCACAAAACCAGGCTGCACACGCTGAAACGGTGTATCGTGAGATATCATTGGATCATAGAAAAACAATAATAATCATAATCATAATAATAATTATATTGCGCTATACTTTCAAGCCACACATGTCATGTTCAAAGCACTTCACCATTATTACCCCAGTCAGTGGATCAGCGTGCACCCGATTTCATTCTCAGCTCCCTAGGGAGTATACATTACCATATTATCCTACCGGGTACCCATTCACTGTTGGTGAGCAGAGGTAGAGCTAAATGTGCCCTTTCAAATATATTGCATTGTATTTACTGATTTGAAATGTCTTTGCATAACCACTATGACATTCGATTTCCAGAACAGAACAGAATACTTGTTTTCCTTACAAACTGTGCATGGTATTACCTCACGTCGACATGCGAGGATGCCTCCAAGGATAGTGGCCACGAGAGTGAATATCCATCCCAAGATCACCATCGCAACGATGCCGAGGGCCAATGAGTTGAATTCGTTCAGTGTTTCACAGGTGTAGTACGCACTCCCGCCTCCGTTGCTGTAGAGACAAAATCCACATCATTACACACCCCTTGACGGATATTACACATACCCACGCATAGCACATACGCACGTATAGCACATACCCACGTATAATACCCACTCACGTATAACACCCATATCTAACACACACTCACGTATAACACCCACGTATACCCAGGTATAACACCGACGTATAACATCCACGCATAACACCCACCCACGTATAAAACCAACTTACGTATAACTCCCGAGTACCTACATATAACATCCACTTAAGTATAACACCAACTCACGTATAACACCCACCCATGTATACCACCTACATATTACATCCACTCACGTATAACAAACACGTATAACACCCATATCTAACACACACTCACGTATAACACCCACGTATACCCAGGTATAACACCGACGTATAACATCCACGCATAACTCCCACCCACGTATAAAACCAACTTACGTATATCACCCAAGTACCTACACATAACATCCACTTTAGTATAACACCCACTCACACCCACATATTACATCCACTCACGTATAACAAACACGTATACCACCCGATCACGAATAACAACAACGTATAAAACCCAGCCACGTATAAAACCCACTCACGTATAACACCCACGTATAACACCCATCCACGTATATTACTCACCCACGTATAACACCCATCCACGTATAAAACTCACTCATGTATAACACCCATCCACGTATAAAACTCACTCATGTATAACACTCACGTATAACACCCACGTATCAAACTCACTCACGTATAACATCCACGTATAAAAGCCACTCACGTGTAACACCCACATATAACACCATCCACCATCCACAGATAAACTCACTCATGTATAACACCCATTCACGTATAACACCCACGTATAAAACCCACTCACTTATAACACCCACGTATAACACCCATTCACGTTTAACATCCACGTATAAAACCCACTCACGTATAACACCCACGTATAACACCCATTCACGTATAACACCCACGTATAAAACCCACCCACGTATAACACCCATCCACGTATAAAACTCACTCACGTGTAACACCCACGCATAACACCCACCCACATATAACGCCAACGTATGGCATACACCATGTACAGCACAGGTCATATTTACCACTATGTACAAATGTTACCGACCTGCAGACGCACGAGTAACTCCTGGTGGAGCAGTACTGCTTGTCCTGGCCGGCGAAAACCCCAACGATCAGCAGGCAGAAGAAGAAGATGATGGCCATGATGACGAGAGTCAAGATGCAGAAGACCATCTGGGTGATGTACTGAAGCAGTAAACGTATGTATACCTTTATATGACAAATATAAAATCCCTTGGTTCATTTCAGTGATTATGTCTAATTACTGAAGATTTCAGTAATTAGACATAACCACCGAGTGAATCAGTTATTAGACATAATAACTGAAATTTCCAGTTATTAGACATAATCACTGATTATACTTGTTTCCTGTAACATATATACCTTCATATGACAACTATCTGGGTGATGTAATGAAGCAGTAAACGTATATATACCTTTATATGACAACCATCTGGGTGATGTACTGAAGCAGTAAACATATATACCTTTATATAACAACCACCTGGGTGATGTACTTAAGCAGTAAACGTATATACACCTTCATATGACAACCATCTGGGTGATGTACTGAAGCAATAAACGTATATATACCTTTATATGACAACCATCTGGGTGATGTACTGAAGCAGTAAACGTATATATACCTTTATATAACAACCTTCTGGGTGATGTACTAAAGCAGTAAACGCATGTATACCTTTATATGACAACCATCTGGGTGATGTACTGTAGCAATAAACGTATATATACCTTTATATGACAACCATCTGGGTGATGTACTGAAGCAGTAAACTTAATATACCTTTATATGACAACCATCTGGGTGATGTACTGAAGCTGTAAACGTATATATACCTTTATATGAAAACAATCTGAGTGATGTACTGAAGCTGTAAACGTATATAACCTTTATATGACAACCATCTGTGTGATGTACTGAAGCTGTTAACGTATGTATACCTTTATATGAAAACAATCTGAGTAATGTACTGAAGCTGTAAACGCATGTATACCTTTATATGACAACCATCTGGGTGATGTACTGAAGCAGTAAACGTATATATACCTTTATATGACAACCATCTGTGTGATGTACTGAAGCTGTAAACGTATATAACCTTTATATGACAACCATCTGTGTGATGTACTGAAGCTGTTAACGTATGTATACCTTTATATGAAAACAATCTGAGTGATGTACTGAAGCTGTAAACGCATGTATACCTTTATATGACAACCATCTGGGTGATGTACTGAAGCAGTAAACGTATATATACCTTTATATGACAACCACCTGGGTGATGTACTGAAGCTGTAAACGTATATATACCTTTATATGAAAACAATCTGAGTGATGTACTGAAGCTGTAAACGTATATAACCTTTATATAACAACCACCTGGGTGATGTACTGAAGCTGTAAACGTATGTATACCTTTATATAACAACCACCTGGGTGATGTACTGAAGCTGTAAACGTATATATACCTTTATATGACAACCATCTGTGTGATGTACTGAAGCTGTAAACGTATATAACCTTTATATGACAACCATCTGTGTGATGTACTGAAGCTGTTAACGTATGTATACCTTTATATGAAAACAATCTGAGTGATGTACTGAAGCTGTAAATGCATGTATACCTTTATATGACAACCATCTGTGTGATGTACTGAAGCAGTAAACGTATATATACCTTTATATGACAACCACCTGGGTGATGTACTGAAGCAGTAAACGTATATATACGTTTATATGAAAACAATCTGAGTGATGTACTGAAGCTGTAAACGTATATAACCTTTATATGACAACCATCTGTGTGATGTACTGAAGCTGTAAACGTATATATACCTTTATATGACAACAATTTGAGTGATGTACTGAAGCTGTAAACGCATGTATACCTTTATATAACAACCACCTGGGTGATGTACTGAAGCTGTAAACGTATATATACCTTTATATGAAAACAATCTGAGTGATGTACTGAAGCTGTAAACGTATATAACCTTTATATGACAACCATCTGTGTGATGTACTGAAGCTGTAAACGTATATATACCTTTATATGACAACAATCTGAGTGATGTACTGAAGCTGTAAACGCATGTATACCTTTATATGACAACCATCTGTGTGATGTACTGAAGCTGTTAACGTATATGGTCTGTGTGATTTTCACGAGGGATTTGCATACTGCTTCTAATTATAGAGGCATCACCTTCTTCATGTTGTCAGTACATTCTACATCCATGTATCAATTATTAAAACTAGACATAGTTTTTGGAGCGATGCTTATAATAGACTTCTTGAGTCGCAGGCAGGGTTTCGTGTCGGATATTCAACTCCTGATAATGTACAATCAGTCGCTAATCGAACAAAGATAAATTACTGATATATTAAATGGGATTTGGTTTGTATGAGAAGATCAGTTTATTGCTATACTCAAAAAGTATTATATATTTCCTAGTTTACATAAATTTAACAAGTTCATGTCAGATATAATACAAATATAGGGAACGTTTATTATTTTATGATAATAATTTGAGAAAAGAAATGTAAAAAATGGCTCGCAGCCTTGATGCAACATATAATGGGCCCATGGCCAACACTTCGTGAATGAAATGCTGCTGCTGCTGATGATGATGATGACTGCTTAGCGACACAAGCCGTCACGGACAGAAGACATAACGATGTGGGAGCTGTCGGACGTAAAATAATACACTGCAATGTCGTAAATCTTTTGGATATAATTCCTCCTTCTAAGTCAACAAACTAAATTCACTGATTCAGTTGTTTTTACAGCTAATCATCATCCAGAGAACCATTAACTTTCTCAAGATAACAAACATATTTCCCTCTGGGCGAAATGTGGCATTGTAACCAGGGAGGGCTGCAATCCTATACCTAACCCACGGAGCATGTTATATACCTATGTTGGAATCGTCGGATGTAATGCTTCTATATCTGATTCACGGAGCATGGTAAAGTTCTTTACCTAACCCCGAAGCATGGTATAAAACGTTACTGTTAATAATATGTGATAATTGGATAAAGCTCGTGTTAGCTCCATTTAATCGTGAGTTGGTGTTCATTAAAACTTTCGTGGGATATGGTTAATACCTCACTTCATAAGACTCCCATGTTACTCACCCCTCCCTTGCCCTGGACGCAGCTCGCTATGGCGCCGATCAGACCTGGGATGATGAACTGTGGACGGAACGTTTGTAAAGAGTGGTAAACGTTTTGTATCTATGTGTGCTCTTTCAAATTATTACGAAATTACGAAGCTTACAGTGATGGTCCTTACAGCACAGCCCATAGCCCATATTAGTGAGTGTCACTTAAGAGCACAGCCAATAGCCCAGTTTAGTGATGGACCTACCGCAAAGCCAATAGTCCATACCTGAGGTGTATACCTACCACAAAGCAAATAGTCAATACCAGAGGTGGATATTTACAGCAAAGCCAATAGTCCATATCAGAGGTGGATATTAACAGCAAAGTCAATAACCCGTTTTAGTGATGGATACTTACCGCAAAGCAAATTGTCCATACCTGAGGTGTATACCTACCACAAAGCAAATAGTCAATACCAGAGGTGGATATTTACAGCAAAGCCAATAGTCCATATCAGAGGTGGATATTTATAGCAAAGCCAATAGCCCATATCAGAGGTGGATATTTACAGCAAAGCCAATAGTCCATACCGGAGGTGCATATTTACAGCAAAGCCAGTAGTCCATATTAGTGAGTGTCACTTAAGAGCACAGCCAATAGCCCATTTTAGTGATGGATACTTACCGCAATGCCAATAGTCCATACCAGAGGTGGATATTTACAGCAAAGCCAAAAGCCCGTTTTAGTGATGGATACTTACCGCAAAGCCAATAGTCCATACCTGAGGTGGATACTTACAGCAAAGCCAATAGTCCATATCAGAGGTGGATATTTACAGCAAAGCCAATAGTCCATATCAGAGGTGGATATTTACAGCAAAGCCAATATCCCATACCAGAGGTGGATATTTACAGCAAAGCCAATAGTCCATACCAGAGGTGGATATTTACAGCAAAGCCAATAGTCCATATCAGAGGTGGATATTTACAGCAAAGCCAATAGTCAAAACCTGAGGTGGATACTTACCGCAAAGCCAATAGCCCATACCAGAGGTGGATATTTACAGCAAAGCCAATAGTCCATACCAGAGGTGGATATTTACAGCAAAGCCAATAATCCACACCAGAGGTGGATTTTTACAGCAAAGCCAATAATCCATACCAGAGGTTGATATTTACCGCAAAGCCAATAGTCCATACTAGAGGTGGATATTTACCGCAAAGCCAATGGTCCATACCAGAGGTGGATATTTACAGCAAAGCCAATAGTCCATATCAGAGGTGGATATTTACAGCAAAGCCAATAGTCCATACCTGAGGTGGATACTTACTGCAAAGCCAATAGTCCATACCTAAGGTGGATATTTACCGCAAAGCCAATAGTCCATACGAGAGGTGGATATTTACAGCAAAGCCAATATCCCATACTAGAGGTGGATATTTACAGCAAAGCCAATAGCCCATACTAGAGATGGTTATTTACAGCAAAGCAAATAGTCCATACCTGAGGTGGATATTTACAGCAAAGCCAATAGCTCATACCAGAGGTGGATATTTACCACAAAGCCAATAGTCCATACCTGAGGTGGATACTTACCGCAAAGCCAATAGCCCATACAAGAGGTGGATATTTACAGCAAAGCCAATAGCCCATATCAGAGGTGGATATTTACAGCAAAGCCAATAGTCCATACCTGAGGTGGATATTTACAGTAAAGCCAATAGTCCATACCAGAGGTGGATATTTACAGCAACGCCAATATTCCATATCAGAGGTGGATATTTACAGCAAAGCCAATAGTCCAAACCATAGGTGGATATTTACAGTAAAGCCAATAGTCCATACCAGAGGTGGATATTTACAGCAACGCCAATATTCCATATCAGAGGTGGATATTTACAGCAAAGCCAATAGTCCATCCAAGAGGTGGATACATACCGCAAAGCCAATAGTCCATACCAGAGGTGGATATTTACAGCAAAGCCAATAATCCACACCAGAGGTGGATATTTACAGCAAAGCCAATAGTCCATCCAAGAGGTGGATACATACCGCAAAGCCAATAGTCCATACCAGAGGTGGATATTTACAGCAAAGCCAATAATCCACACCAGAGGTGGATATTTACAGCAAAGCCAATAGTCCATACCGGAGGTGGATATTTACAGCAAAGCCAATAATCCATACCAGAGGTGGATATTTACAGCAAAGCCAATGGTCCATACCAGAGGTGGATATTTACAGCAAAGCCAATGGTCCATACCATAGGTGGATATTTACAGCAAAGCCAATGGTCCATACCATAGGTGGATATTTACAGCAAAGCCAATAATCCATACCAAAGGTGGATATTTACAGCAAAGCCAATGGTCCATACCATAGGTGGATATTTACAGCAAAGCCAATAGTCCACACCAGAGGTGGATATTTACAGCAACGCCAATAGTCCATATCAGAGGTGGATATTTACAGCAAAGCCAATAGTCCATCCAAGAGGTGGATACATACCGCAAAGCCAATAGTCCATACCAGAGGTGGATATTTACAGCAAAGCCAATAATCCACACAAGAGGTGGATATTTACAGCAAAGCCAATAGTTCATACCAGAGGTGGATATTTACAGCAAAGCCAATAATCCACACCAGAGGTGGATATTTACAGCAAAGCCAATGGTCCATACCAGAGGTGGATATTTACAGCAAAGCCAATAGTCAATATCAGAGGTGGATATTTACAGCAAAGCCAATAGTCCAAACCTGAGGTGGATATTAACAGCAAAGCCAATAGCCCATACCAGAGGTTGATATTTACAGCAAAGCCAATAGCCCATATCAGAGGTGGATATTTACAGCAAAGGCAGTAGTCCACACCAGAGGTGGATATTTACAGCAAAGCCAATAGTCCACACCAGAGGTGGATATTTACAGCAAAGCCAATAGCCCATATCAGAGGTGGATAATAACAGCAAAGCCAATAGTCCATACCAGAGGTTGATATTTACAGCAAAGCCAATAGTCCATACAAGAGGTGGATACATACCGCAAAGCCAATAGTCTATACCAGAGGTGGATATTTACAGCAAAGCCAATAATCCACACCAGAGGTGGATATTAACAGCAAAGCCAATAGCCCATACCTGAGGTGGATATTTACAGCAAAGCCAATAATCCACACCAGAGGTGGATATTTACAGCAAAGCCAATATCCCATACCAGAGGTGGATATTTACAGCAAAGCCAATAGTCCATACCTGAGGTGGATACTTACCGCAAAGCCAATAGTCCATACCTGAGGTGGATATTTACCGCAAAGCCAATAGTCCATACGAGAGGTGGATATTTACAGCAAAGCCAATATCCCATACCAGAGGTGGATATTTACAGCAAAGCCAATAGCCCATACTAGAGATGGTTATTTACAGCAAAGCCAATAGTCCATACCTGAGGTGGATATTTACCGCAAAGCCAATAGTCCATACCTGAGGTGGATATTTACAGCAAAGCCAATAGTCCATACCAGAGGTGGATATTAACAGCAAAGCCAATAGTCCATACCTGAGGTGGATATTTACAGCAAAGCCAATAGCCATATTATAGGGTACTTACAGCAAAGCCAATAGCCCATATCGGTGACGACCCGTAAGCAGCGTAGGCACTGGCGCCGCTGGTGTCCAAGGTGCTGCCAAAGACCCTGCCGAAGTTGCCGAGTGCGCCTGTTACTATCTTATTGAACAGCATATACACCAGCACGCTGAAAGCGATTCCTGGAAAAACAGATGTCAACACAGATACCATCAAAACTAAAAAAGTAGATAACCCTAATAAATTGATAATAGAGCACATTTGTTTTAATTCATCATTTGGTAAGGGGCGTGACATTTGATAATGAGGGCAGGGGGCGGCTTTTGGGGGTAGAGTCATGTTTTTCTTTCTTCATTTTTATAGGAGCTGAGATTTTTTTCTTCTGAAAAGAGAGATGAGATATTTCAAATTCAACCTTCGGAAAGAACGTTACAATTTTCTCACTGTTCACTAAAACATAATAGCTGTACAATGAAAATAGTAGTATGATAAAGCATTTTATAAAATAACAAATAAAGACCATTTTTTACAACACCATATGTTTGTAGCAAAAACAAGTCTACTTAACATGGTTGTACTCACATCTTCTGGAGGAATGTACTTTTCAATTACTAAGATGATGTGGATGATGGACATAAGTAGCATAACGTTTGATGTAAACTGACGGAAAAAAGAACCGTTACCCAACTGAAAGTTGTACACGTTGGGTCCAAACCCCGGAAGTGTTACAAAATGGTTGAGAATAAATCGCCCAAACACAACCACAACAGTTTGCTGAATAATGCAGGTGCTACATTACCCAGATCAGTGGAACTTAAGTATGATTAATGAGAGAACAAGCCATTGGTATGATACATCAAGAAGCAACGCTGTAGCAGAATGACAGCCACCAGGTTGATGGTCCATTATAGGCACTCTGGATGTACGGACAGGATACTTCATCATCGACGTCGTTGGTGAGGGGGCGGCCAAGGCCGCCGCCTAAACTAACCATGAACCCAACAATACCCCTGAAAGTCATGGAGCTTTTGTCCCAAAAAAGCATTTTTAAAATATTGATAGTCCAAGTTCACAGTAAAATGCATTTCTCCAATCACAAAGATCAGTGTTTGACTCAGATTGGTCAGAATTAGGACACACTCACTTACATCATCACACAATAGAAACAGGTGACACCCGACCCATAAGACCCCCTTTTTATAGGCAAAACGCACCCATTAGAAATGAATGTTCGATACAGGTGCAAGAAATGTTTGGAGCCAATATCATTCAGGCCAGTTCTTCTGAATAGAAATCTCCCATTTCCATGTTTAAAAAACGTGATAGCTCTAAACGCTTTGCCGTAGAGTATAGACGTCTCAATACTTTACATAACCTATATTTTTCCCTCCATCACCTCTGCCAATATTTTTAGTGAGCTTGATTGTGCTAGTGGCTTTTAACAAATACCAGTCCATCCAGATACAAAACACAGGTCGGCCTAAATTACACCCGATGGTGTTTTTGGATGGAATCGCCTCCCTTTTGGCCTAAAAAATACTCCTATAGCATTGCTGCAAATCATTTCAGAGGCAATAAAGAAATGTATTAGCGTTACATACTAATATATGTAATCATTTTCTAAAACGGGTTTGGAACATCTGAGTCACCCCAAGGCAGTATTCCAAAAGATCAAAGAAGCAGGACTCACTCTAAAACCAACCAAGTGCAAATTTGCGTCACAAGTCACCTACATAGGGTATATCGCCAGTAAAGATGGCATCCATGTCGATGTACTTCAAAAAATAGATTCAGTCACACAGATCTCACCCTCTAAAAAGGTCAATGACGTGTTTCATTTCTTAGATTTGCTCCTATGTATAGCGATTCATTCAGACACTGGCATATCAACTCATCCAGGAACTGTCATATCAATTCATCCAGACACTGCCATACCGATTCATCCAGGAACTGCCACACTGACTCACCCAGGAACTGACAGACATTGCCCTATAGACTCATCTAGGCAGTCAAATAGAGTCATCCAGACACTGCCACATCGACTCATCTAGACATTGCCATATCGACCCATCTAGGCAGTCATATAGAGTCATCCAGACACTGCCACATCGACTCATCCAGACACTGCCATATCGACTCATCCAGCCATTGCCATATAGACTCATCTAGGCAGTCATATCGAGTCATCCAGACACTGCCATATCGACTCATCCAGACATTGCCATATAGACTCATCTAGGCAGTCATATCGAGTCATCCAGAAACTGCCATATCGACTCATCCAGACACTGCCATATTGTCTCATCAAGGAACTACCATATCGACTCATCTAGACATTGCCATATAGACTCATCTAGGCAGTCATATCCAGTCATCCAGACACTGCCATATCGACTCATCCAGACATTGCCATAAAGACCCATCTAGGCAGTCATATCGACTCATCCAGACACTGCCATATCGACTCATCCAGACACTGTCATATCGACTCATCTAGGCAGTCATATCGACTCGTCCAGACATTGCCATATCGACTCATCCAGTCATTGCCATATAGACTCATCTGGGCAGTCATATCGACTCATCCAGACACTGCCATATCGACTCATCCAGACACTGCCATACCGACTCATCCAGACATTGCCATATAGTCTCATCTAGGAACTGCCATATCGACTTATCCAGTCAATCATATCAACTCATCCAGACACTGCCATCTCGGAACATCCTGACAGTGCCATATTGAATCATCCAGACACTGCCATATCAACTCATCCAGACACTGCCATATCGATTCATCTAGGAACTGCCATACCGACTCATCCAGTCAATCATATCAACTCATCCAGACACTGCCATCTCGGAACATCCTGACAGTGCCATATTGAATCATCCAGACACTGCCATACCGACTCATCCAGACATTGACATATAGTCTCATCTAGGAACTGCCATATCGACTCACCCAGTCAATCATATCAACTCATCCAGACACTGCTATATCGATTCATCTAGGAACTGCCATACCGACTCATCCAGTCAATCATATCGACTCATCCAGATCACTGCCATATCGATTCATCTAGGAACTGCCATACCGACTCATCCAGTCAATCATATCGACTCATCCAGACACTGCCATCTCGGAACATCCTGACAGTGCCATATCGATTCATCTAGGAACTGCCATACCGACTCATCCAGACATTGTCATATAGACTTATCTAGGCAGTCACATCGAGTCATACAGACACTGACACCTCGGAACATCCTGATACTGCCATATCGACTCATCCAGACGCTGCCATACCGACTCATCCAGACACTGCCATACCGACTCATCCAGACATTGCCCTATAGACTCATCTAGGCAGTCAAATAGAGTCATCCAGACACTGCCACATCGACTCATCCAGACATTGCCATATCGACCCATCTAGGCAGTCACATCGAGTCATACAGACACTGCCACCTCGGAACATCCTGATACTGCAATATTGAGTCATACAGACACTGCCATATAGATTCATCTAGGCATTGTCATATAGACTCATCTAGGCAGTCACATCGAGTCATACAGACACTGCCACCTCGGAACATCCTGATACTGCAATATTGAGTCATACAGACACTGCCATATAGACCAATCCAGACATTGTCATGAAGACTCATCTAGGCAGTCATATCGAGTCATCCAGGCACTGCCATATGACTCATCCAGGCACTGCCATATCGACTCATCTAGGCAGTCATATCGACTCATCCAGACACTGCCATATCGACTAATCCAGACACTGCCATACCGACTAATCCAGGAACTACCATATCGACTCATCCAGACACTGCCATATCGACTCATCCAGACACTGCCATATCGACTCATCCAGACACTGCCATATCAACTCATCCAGACACTGCCATATCGACTAATCCAGGAACTACCATATCGACTCATCCAGTCAACCATATCGTGTCATCCAGACACTACCATATCGACTCATCCAGTCAACCATATCGTGTCATCCTGACACTGCCATATCGACTCACATATCGATAAGCGTAGCTCAGTTGCATGCCGTCATTCTAACAGCGTATGGAAACTCTTATTACTTAGCAACATATGTCAACAGCATCACAAATACAAAGTTGACAAACTGCCTCAGCTAATGACATTCAAGCCTACGTGACACAACTGCAATGCAGTGGCGCATTTTTGATGAGTGTTTAAAGATTGGACTAGATGGATTGGTTTTATTTCCACACTGCTTTCGAATTTCTCGTCAGTGTTTTATACAGAAACATAAAGGTTAAAACATAATATGATGGTCGGGTTAATGATGAAACCTGGTCAGGCAGGATCTGGCCCATGTCCTCTTTCGTTGTGGAACAGACTATGGACATCACCGAGCGGCGGTGGGTAGTTTTATGGTTAATGCGTTCTCCCACAACACTGAAGGTCCGGGTTCGATTCCAAACATGGATGCAATGATGTACCCATAGCGTCTCCAGCCGGGATATTGCTGAATATTACTAAAATGGCGTAAACCAGACCCGCTCACTCGATATGTCCCGATACAGGCATGCACCTGACCATTATATTTTAATTTTAATTGAAAGCTAAATTTTACCAAAACAGTGTAAGTGTACACGCATATTTCATCTTACTATCACGTGGTACCAGCAATCACGTACAAATTAACAGAAATGTGACATTTTGTCTGCAAACGTCATGTACATGCAGGCTTTGAAAAGACAAAGATTGTCGACCCCTGTTCAAACTGTGAGTTCTTTGCGTATCCAACAGTCACGTTGAGATCCTGCCCCAGGAACTGTGTGAGCACCTGTCATAGTGGGAGGTACGAGGCTACTGGCTGTCACGTTGAGATCCTGCCCCAGGAACTGTGTGAGCACCTGTCATAGTGGGAGGTATGAGGCTACTGGCTGTCACGTTGAGATCCTGCCCCAGGAACTGTGTGAGCATCTGTCATGGCAGGAGGTATGAGGCTACTGGCTGTCACGTTGAGATCCTGCCCCAGGAACTGTGTGAGCACCTGTCATAGTAGGAGGTATGAGGCTACTGGCTGTCACGTTGAGATCCTGCCCCAGGAACTGTGTGAGCACCTGTCATAGTAGGAGGTATGAGGCTACTGGCTGTCACGTTGAGATCCTGCCCCAGGAACTGTGTGAGCATCTGTCATGGCAGGAGGTATGAGGCTACTGGCTGTCACGTTGAGATCCTGCCCCAGGAACTGTGTGAGCACCTGTCATAGTAGGAGGTATGAGGCTACTGGCTGTCACGTTGAGATCCTGCCCCAGGAACTGGGTGAGCACCTGTCATAGTAGGAGGTATGAGGCTACTGGCTGTCACGTTGAGATCCTGCCCCAGGAACTGTGTGAGCACCTGTCATAGCAGGACGTTTGGGGGTACTGACAGTCATGTCGAGATCCTCTCTCAGGAACCGTGGTCATGTCTAATTGTCAAATCAGGATCCATGTTGTTTGTTTGTTTGTTCGTTGTTTAACGCCGCGCTCAGCAATATTCCAGCGTAAAAGGCGACTTACGGGATCGGGTGGTCAGGCTCGTTGACTTGGTTGATGCATGTCATCGTATCCCAATTGCGTGGATCGATGCTCATGATGTCAATCACTGGATTGTCAGGTCCAGACTTGATTATTTACAGACTGTCGTCATATAGCTGGAATATTGTTGAGTGCGGCGTTAAAGAACAAACAAACAAATATATGACTGCGGTCTGTAAATAATCGAGTCTCTGACTTTACATCCATTGTGTCCATGTATCTCTGACTTTACATGAATTTTGTCCATGTATCTCTGACTTTACATCCATTGTGTCCATGTATCTCTGACTTTACATCCATTGTGTCTATGTATCTCTGACTTTACATTCATTGTGTCCATATATCTCTGACTTTACATCCATTGTGTGCGTGTATCTCTGACTTTACATCCATTGTGTCCGTTTATCTCTGGGCAATACCGTTTCTCGTAAAATCGTCCCGATCAACAATTGTCCAAATTAACGTTCAGATGTTCAGATTAACGAATGTCAAGATTAACGAGTCATAGGTATACAGTAATATACCCTGTATAATATTAAGTCGTTTCAGCAGTGTCTGGAACACACGCTCTCCGGTCTAACGGGGTTTCTCTGTACGCTGACACCTCGGGTGTGTCTACCTGCGAAAACTAGAAGTCTACAAAGAAACCGGATACAAAGACCCACACTCTCGCTGTATCCATTCTCCTGCCTGTGTGGTACATAAATCAATTTAAAGAACGATGAAGCCAAGAATACACTATCCCAAACAACCCTGTACCATCATCTAACAATGTTAGCAAGGGTATCAACTGTTACTTATGATATACCGAGAAACAAACCAATATACAACTCAATATATACCTACAACGAAGCACAGACACATGACACTCACCACAAGCCAGGGCGAGTCCGGAGAATACTCCATTGGATATATTTATCTTGGATTTGGTCGACATCGTGGACAGACCACCTCTCTGTGCTTCTGTAGGTGTCATCTTCCCTGCTTTGTCATGTCCACAACGCTGGCAACGCCGGCAACGCCACGTGATTGTATTTAATCATGTGCTAGTATCGACCAGCGCCGATTCTTTTCCCTCTACCACGGGTATGACGGATTATCACAGCGGACTTATGTGCTGAGAGCAAGATATTCCTAGGTTAAAGAGATCATTTCAAGACTTTAAGACACACGTTTTTCAATGTGGACAATTTAAGATATCAAGATATATATATATAGTGTGTCACGTATATGTTAGTGTTGACCCCCCCCCCCCCCCCCCCCCCAAACCACCCCCACCCCCCCACCCCCACCCCCCAGCACTGACAAGGGAGGTGATGGTTCTCACAGAAGGCGCTAATGGCACGACAAACTAGGACACTGTATGTACATGATGTATGCGTCGCACCTGGGTTGCACCTTTGTCCAGGTAAGTCAGATGATGCAATAGCGTTGTTAGCTCCACGAGGGAGAGTGTGAGGGATTGGGGTTCTAATATTGTCCAGGTGCATCAGATGGTGCTATAGCGTTATTAGCATCCCCTTGACGTAATAGACTTAAAAGTTGTATTTGCGTATACGTTGTTAATGAATTAGAACTTTTTGACTTCTTCATCTTTTTAAAAATTGAGTGATACACCGTTAAGGGAATCAAGACCATTTTTCCATACTGTCGTCTATGCATGTTACAGGGGTCAATTGTGTTATTGTCCAGTAAATAAATGCAACATAACACTTTCCGCGTTAATAAGAAATTTCTGCTAAAGGCAGAGTCGATTCTATGACAACATAATGAGCATGTGTGTATGAATCACTATCAAATATCATTACATTATGACAATTATTGCCTTAGTCGAATATCCCCGGGGATCGCCGGTAATCACATCCATGTCCCATTTCCAGGACAACGTCATTGTCCCTGCGTCTGTCTTTTGTTGTTTATTATTTAATAGCAGACAAAAAACTACACTGAACCAAATTAAAAACTTGTGTATTTAAACAGTAATGGCCACGTATTGTCTTCAGATATCACCCGTTTTTGGTGAATCGATCAAAATCATGTGCACAGCACTATAGTGGCAAAAGTGGTTTTTCACGTGCAACTGGTCACGTGGCCATAATACCGCACTAGGTTTCAGTCATACTTGTTAGCAGTCATTAACAAAAAAAGAAGAAAAAAAGTCTTTACGGGCATTTGTCATGCCACGCCCTTCAAATGTGCAACGTGAACGTGCCATCGGCATGTTGCAGACGGGAACGTCCGTAACTGAAGTCGCAAGGGCGATGGGTTGTAGTCGACGGACTGTTTATGATTTACAGACGCGTCTACAGCAAACGGGTACCACCGCTGATCGCCCTCGGCCAGGTCGACCACGTGTGTCACATGCAGAGGATCGTCAGATTGTCTTACGTCACCTGCGTAACCGATTTTTGACGGCTTCATCAACCAAAAATGAACTGTGTAGGGGTAGACTGAGTGCGCAAACTGTTCGAAACCGTCTGAGAACTGCTCACCTTCAAGCACGACGGCCATACTTTGGGCTGATTCTGACTCAATTACACAGACGTCAACGTCAATTGTGGGCACAGCGACACTTACTTACGGAGGAATTGGAATTAAGTAGTCTTCAGTGCTGAATCCCGATTTAATCTTCGATTACGCCCAGTGTTGTGTACAGAAAGTGGACAGATTTCGAGGCGGAAGTGTCATGGTTTTTGGGGTGCTTTCTGTGGCAATGCACGTTCCAGGCTTCTTGTCATCCGTGGCAACCTCAACGCTGCTGCTTACCGCGACCAGGTACTGGCACCAGAACTTCTGCCTTTTATGGCATCACATGGACCCGGTTTGATCTTCCAACACGACAATGCCAGACCCCACACAGCAATTTTGACAAGGAATTTCCTTCAGAATGCGGGAGTCAACGTCATGGACTGGCCGTCAAGGTCTCCCGACCTCAATCCCATCGAACACGTCTGGGATGCTCTTGGCAGAAGTCTGCGCACTCTCCAGAACCAACCACAGAATTTGCAAGATCTTGGCACCATTTTGCAGCAACAATGGCGTCGTCTTCCCAATCATGTGTTCACAAGCATCACAAGGTCCATGCGGAGGCGTTGTGTGGCAGTTGTCAACGCACATGGTGGTCAAACACTCTACTGAACTTGTGTGCCAGCAGATTCTCGTGCTTGGGACTTATGATTTAAACTGTTGATGTTATTACCGAATACCGTAGGTGCTTGGAACAAATTATGGTTACAACCGTTAATTGAAATCCTTCTTTGGACATTAATGATTAAAAATTACCTTCTCTGATACATTTGTCCGTTGTATATCATATATGGGATTACTTTTAAAAATGTGAAGTTTTTAATTTGACTCAGTATATCTGTGCTTCATATTAAGTGATGTAAATGTTATGTTATCGAAAATAACAACATAATATTTTGGTCATTCGTTTAATCAAAATTTTATCATAACAAATTCATTCACAAAATCCATACCTGGTAACAGGAGACAGAGCGAGACACCCTAAAAGAAGGGTGGTGTATGACCACATTTGCTTTGATACATATGAGACAGCGATGGCGAATTGAAGACACCAAAAGATTGAAAACAGCCTGGAGGATGTTGTTCCAAATGTCAACCAAAGATGGGCCCAACTGAGCTAGCGATACCAGCTGATTCTGATCCTTTCGTAGGCATCGTTCCATCTCGTCCCAGACATGTCCTATAGGGGAGAAGTCTCGAGAAACAGCCGTCCATGGCAGTACAGCAATGTTATGCTGCCTCAAAAAGTCTGTTACAACACGTGCAACGTGAAGGCGGGCATTATCCTGCTGCAAATTGACGTTACGTCCCTGCATTTGCACAAAGGGTAGAATATGATCTCGAACGATGTCGTCCCAGAAGCGTTCGTCAGTCAAATTGCTATTAACAATGGTGAGTTGTATTCTCCCATGAGTTATGGTGCGACCCCATACCATTCCACTTCCACCAAGTGACGACGTTGAGTAACGCAGGCGTCGCTACAACGTTCTCCTAGGCGTCTGTGAACCATTGCAAGAGCTGTTCATCAGCCCTGCCCAGATGAAACCGGGAATTTGTGAACAGTATACTGTCCCGGTCATGTCTTCTGAACCTCAGATACTGTGTACACCAAGCTAGGCGTGTCTGACGGTGACGTGTAGGAAACATTGGGCGTATCGCTGGACGTCGAGGCCGGGTGTTATGTTTCCTCAACCGGTTGCCTTCAGTTCTGCCACTAAATGGTCTCAACACGGGGATTGTCCGAGCTGTTAATTTGGCAGTTTAGTATGCACCAGCCGAATTTGGTTGTCTTGTTGACGTGATGTATGACGTGAATGTTGCCCCGCTGTAGATAACGTCTCCAAAGATATAATATTGTTTCGAAGAACATTAAAATGTGTGCAGCTTCGATTTGCGCATACGCACCAAACGCGTTGATTTTCAGCTAGTTGTGGCATTGCTTAAACGTTATTTACAGTTAATCAAAATTGTATTCATGAGCACCTGATAACTAAACAATGTTTGTGCGCTGTTCACATTCAAAAACCACGTGTATGAGTATAATCTTTCCAACAAACACGTAAACATTCAAATTTTTCGCCGTGCATAGGGCACTTTGTGAATCACGACGAGATGTGTGACTGAATATCTAATATGTATTTACCACGTAGTTAAAAACCTCCTTTCTCTCTCTCTCTCTCTCTCTCTCTCTCTCTCTCTCTCTCTCTCTCTCTCTCTCTCTCTCTCTCTCTGAAAATCGATCAGCAGAAGCAGGTGTTAAGAAGAACAATTGCCATGGTAATTAAGGTAGATGTTTTAGCGCCGAGATGTGTAGGTAACAAGTACATAGTTCCTGTAGAAAGTTAATCACTATGTTCCTTGACAACAGAACATGGCAATTGGTACACAACTGTAAGTGTCAGCCGACATATCTCAGCCATAAGGCCACGAGAACAAGTTGTACAATCATGAAACAAACTTGTACAATAGGACAGTGAAATACATATCACAGATTCAATACGGAACAAACTTGACAGACATAGGAGTAAAACTTACCCACACATATATATCACCTACAATAAACGCATGCTATAAATACACGTACAATGTACTAAATACACGAATTTTTAAAACGATTTGCTACTACAAAGTCAACAGGCTTGGCGGTGGACATTTCATAACAAGGGATACATTTAGTAGATCCAAAACATCAATCACAGGGAATAATTCTTCTCGATCATCCGTCGGAACGGATTCCTTGCTTCTACAAAGTCAACACGGTCTAGCAACACAGGCTTGGCGGTGGACATTTCATAACAAGGGATACATTTAGTAGATCCAAAACATCAATCACGGGGATTAATTCTTCTCGACTATCTGTCGGAACGGATTCCTTGGGGCATAAACACAGTAAGCATGACCCGCTCTCCCGGCATCACCCGCCACTCACAGAAGTTGCGCAAAAAAGTAAGTATTGATTGCCTACCGCCGCACTCATCGATACTCCTGCCACTCGAGAGGGTGCCAACCCCACAATCCCATGAATGCCGAATACCACTTAATTTTTCACTCTGAATCTCATTGCTTACACCTGAATCCCGAATACTATCTAACACAAATCTCAAAAGCATTGATAATAGAGGTGCGGTAAGAACTTATATTTCTGAAAAATTATTGAAAAATAAAATATATAAAGAAATGTTTCAAGTACACCATTTTTCTTTTAAAAAAAGTTGAATGTCCGTACCAAATACGATCGTCCCGCGTCCCGAATACCCTCTTAATAGACCCCGAATCCCCCTGACAAAAGGGGATTTGCAGCCTCGAACGACGGTGGCCGGCAAATAATCGAGTCTGCACCAGACAATCCAGTGATAGCGAGCTCATCCTCATCAGTTTTGGAAAAGAGTGGTTTTGGAAATGTTTGGTATGATTAATCTGTACAATCTGAAAGTGTATTTACCAATTCTTTTCTGCAGAGGCTAAAAGATATTTTTCTGTAATCGTGGTCATTTTCGTTGACATTATCGAATAAATGTTTATATT